CGGGATTCCCTTGGCACCCTGGAAAAGTCCTGCAAATACCACACAAAACGGGAAAGGGTAGGAACAACTTTGCGGGTCAAAATTTGCCGGGATTCCCTTGGCACCCTGCAAAAGTGATGCAAATACCACACAAAACGGGAAAGGGTAGGAACAACTTTGCGGGTCAAAATTTGCCGGGATCCCCTTGGCACCATGGAAAAGTGATGCAAATACCACACAAAACGGGAACGGGTAGGAACAACATTTGCCGGTCAAAATTTGCCGGGCCTCCGGGCAAGATTTGGCCAAATCGAGCCGCGCATTTCTCATCGCATACGAAGGGCAGCCCGATTTGGCCAAATTTTGCCCGGAGGCTGCCCGGCAAAATTTGGCCAAATCGAGCCGCGCCTTTCTGGAGGCCCGAAATTATTTAAACTATCGCGGCTCGATTTGGCCAAATTTTGCCGGGCAGCCTGCGGGCAAAATTTGGCCAAATCGGGCTGCTCGTCGTACGCGATGAGAAATGCGCGGCTCGATTTGGCCAAATTTTGCCCGGCAAAATTTGGCCAAATCGGGCCCCTGGACATTGAAATGAAATTGATTTTTTAAATTCCCCGATACTAAATCACGAGCCCGGGCCTCCCCCTCAATACTAAATTACGAGCCCGGGTCTCCTTTCTCTTCTCTTGTTCTCTTTTAAATCTCAAAGTCACACCAAAGGAAGCTTCTTTTCCTTATTGAATGAAAAAGAAAAAGAAGAAAAGAGATAGGTAAAGACACTGAAGAGCTCCACTGCCTACTGTTTCATTCCTTTCCTCTCTTTCTATGTGTTGTTGTCCTTGTCGTTTCAGAAAGCTAGCAAAATAAGGGCAAGGGGGCTTTAAATTATTAAAACTATTTAATTCCACCCTGGAATTAAATATTTTAAATAATTTAAATAATGTAAATCCGAAAAGGGGGGGGGCCAAAAGTGCCCGGAGGCTGCCCGGCAAAATTTGGCCAAATCGAGCCGCGATAGTTTAAATAATTTCGGGCCTCCAGAAAGGCGCGGCTCGATTTGGCCAAATTTTGCCGGGCAGCCTCCTGGCAAGATTTGGCCAAATCGAGCCGCGCATTTCTCATCGCATACGAAGGGCAGCCCGATTTGGCCAAATTTTGCCCGGAGGCTGCCCGGCAAAATTTGGCCAAATCGAGCCGCGCCTTTCTGGAGGCCCGAAATTATTTGAACTATCGCGGCTCGATTTGGCCAAATTTTGCCGGGCAGTCTGCGGGCAAAATTTGGCCAAATCGGGCTGCTCGTCGTACGCGATGAGAAATGCGCGGCTCGATTTAGCCAAATTTTGCCCGGCAAAATTTGGCCAAATCGGGCCCCTGGACATTGAAATGAAATTGATTTTTTAAATTCCCCGATACTAAATCACGAGGCCGGGCCTCCCCCTCAATACTAAATTACGAGCCCGGGTCTCCCTTCTCTTCTCTTGTTCTCTTTTAAATCTCAAATCACACCAAAGGAAGCTTCCTTTCCTTATTGAATGAAACAGAAAAAGAAGAAAAGAGATAGGTAAAGACACTGAAGAGCTCCACTGCCTATTGTTTCATTCCCTTTCCTCTCTTTCTATGTGTTGTTTTCCTTGTCGTTTCAGAAAGCTAGCAAAATAAGGGCAAGGGGGCTTCCTGAAGAGGAGAGAGGGCACCTATTTTTTAATTATAGAGGGAGAAGCGAGAGACAAGGAAGGGACAGAAGATAGATAAAGAAGAGTGCTATCCGTCTCCTTGTTTCTTGTGTCTTCTCTTCTTTTCAGTTCATCGTATTCCTCTTTTCGGCCTGTCTCTTCTGCTCTTTTCCTTACCCTTCTCCTTTTCAAGTTCTTCCTTTTTCGTTTTTCTGTTTCGAAAAGAAAGAGGGAAGGGAGAGAGAAGGGAGAGAGGATAGATAAAGAAGAGTGCCATTTTCTTTGCGCCTTGTTTTGTCTCTCCATCTTCTTTGTTCGTCTCTCTTTTCTATTCTTTTCTTGTCTCTTCCCATTAGAATTGTCTTCCTTTTATCTCTCCTCTCTCCTTCTCTTTCCCTTCTCTTCTCCTGTTCCCCTTTAAATGACAAAAACACGAGAAAGGAAGAACAAGAGAGGAATGGAGGCCCTTTTCCTGAATTCTCCTGTGGCAATGAATAAGGAAAAGAGCATAGGAGATAAGGAAGGGAATTGTGGGCGATGGAACGGGTGTCCTTTTTGATAGTTTTCTGCATCTTCAAGGAAGAAAAAGGACACCCGCCCAAGAAGGAAAAGTAACATAAGAGATAGGGAGGAAATTGAAAAGCTCCTCTCTTTACCTAGTCATTTCCTGTCCTCTCTTCTTATTTGTTGTTTTTCTTATTCGCTTCAAAAAGCAAAATAACAAAATAAGGGAAAGGCGATTTCCTGAAGAGGAAGAAGGGCGCCTACCTGTGAATAGCAAGGTTGATTTTTTCTAATTAGGGAGAGACTTGCCCCGCCTGAGCCTCCCTGGCCTGCTTGTTGTGGCCACATTCCGGTACAGTTGCGCTTCCAGAAAAATGGCATCCTTGTTATCTCCTCTCACTTCCCTTTCCCTTCTCTCCTTCTGTTTCCTTCTGACTGATAAACCACAAGACAGGAACTTGTATGATAAGGCAGTGGAAGGGTAAGCAGAGGGTGACTCCTGGCGCGTGGACCGGTCCATACTTCATCATACCCCTCCTCTCGGCCTATCTCTTCTGTTCCTTTCCTTACCCTTCTCCTTCTCATAGTTCTTCCTTTTTGTTTTCTTATTTCGAAAAGAAAGATGGCAGGGAGAGATAAGGAAGAGAGGATAGATAAAGAGTGAGTGCCATCTTCTCTGCGCCTTGTTTTGTCTCTCCCTCTTCTCTATTCATCTCTCTTCTATTCTTTTCTTTGCTCTTCCCATTAACAATGCAATCCTTTTGTCTCTCCTCTCTCCTTCTCTCTCCCTTCTCTTCTCCTGTTCCCCTTTAAATGACAAAACGCAAGAAAGGAAGAACAAGAGGGGAATGGAGGCCATGTTCCTTTCTTTTCCAATGGATGGGGAAAGTGAGCGGGGTTGGCTCCTTGTCCGTAGACCCTCCCCACGCTGCAGCAAATCCCTCCTCTCGCCCTATCGCCTCTGTTCTTTTCCTTGTTCCCAAACGGAAAAAGAAAATGGGTTCCTTTACATGTTCATTGTTCTTCCTTTTGTTTTTTATTTAAAAGGGAAAGATAAGAAAGAGAGGAAAGAAGAAAACGAGCACCATCTTCTCTTTGCCTGATTTTGCACCTCCCTCTCCTGTCTTCATTTCTCTTCCATGATTTTCATTGCTCTTCCCATGAAAATTGTTTCCTTTTGATCTCTCCTCTCTCCTTTCTCTCTCCCTTCTCTTCTCTTGTTCTCTTTTGAATCTCAAAATCACACCAAAGGAAGCTTCTTTTCCTTATTGAATGAAAAAGAAAAAGAAGAAAAGAGATAGGTAAAGACACTGAAGAGCTCCACTGCCTATTGTTTCATTCCCTTTCCTCTCTTTCTATGTGTTGTTTTCCTTGTCGTTTCAGAAAGCTAGCAAAATAAGGGCAAGGGGGCTTCCTGAAGAGGAGAGAGGGCACCTATTTTTTAATTATAGAGGGAAAAGCGAGAGACAAGGAAGGGACAGATGATAGATAAAGAAGAGTGCTATCCGTCTCCTTGTTTATTGTGTCTTCTCTTCTTTTCAGTGCCCCTCCAGAAAATTCAAATGGCCTCCTTGTTGTCTCTCCTCTCTCACTTCTCTTGCCCTTCTCTCCTTCTGTTACCTTTTAACTAATATAACACAAGAAAGGAACTTGTATGATAAAGCAGTGGAAGGGTAAGCAGAGAGTGACTCCTTGCGCGTGGACCTTGCCCATACTTCATCATATCCCTCTTTTCGGCCTGTCTCTTCTGCTCTTTTCCTTACCCTTCTCCTTTTCAAGTTCTTCCTTTTTCGTTTTTCTGTTTCGAAAAGAAAGAGGGAAGGGAGAGAGAAGGGAGAGAGGATAGATAAAGAAGAGTGCCATTTTCTTTGCGCCTTGTTTTGTCTCTCCATCTTCTTTGTTCATCTCTCTTTTCTATTCTTTTCTTGGCTCTTCCCATTAAAATTGTCTTCCTTTTATCTCTCCTCTCTCCTTCTCTTTCCCTTCTCTTCTCCTGTTCCCCTTTAAATGACAAAAACACAAGAAAGGAAGAACAAGAGGGGAATGGAGGCCCTTTTCCTGTATTCTCCTGTTGCAATGAATACAGAAAAGAGCATAGGAGATAAGGAAGGGAATTGAGGAGCTCCTTTCGCTACTTTCTTATGCCCTTTCCTTTGTATCTACCACACAAAAACACCACTCTCAGCTTCCAAGAATACTCTCGTGGAGACGCATTGGTTAGTCTAAAAACCCGAGTCTCAGCTTCCAAATAGACCCTATTTAAGCCACCCCCCCCCCCCCCCCCCCCGCCCCGCGCTCGAAGCGCGCCCAGAATGCGTCCGATGATTCAATGTCTCTTCCTTTTAATACTTAATATTTGTTGTTGAGCTTATTAACATGAACATTTCTGTTGTTCTCATAAACATCACTATCTGTATCCGTTGGTTTATTAACTGGTTTCGGTTTAGTCAATAATTCATCAATGTTTTTCTCAAACATGAGATAACTATGTTGACTACTCATGCGAATGATGGGTTTTACAAAATCATCTACGTCTGACATACTATATAAAGGTTCAGAAAACACTTTGTACAAGTTTTAAACCTTTGCGTTTACAACCCTTACAATGGCTGTCCAGCGAAGAACATAACACAGCAGGGACGATGGTGTAAGCTATGTGGTATGCAAAATCTATATAATTTATAAAGCATTTATGAGTGTGTTTCGTGGATTTGGTTGGCGGGTTGAGAATGTAGGGGTGGAGGTCTGAGGAGGGCATCTGCTTGCTTGCCATCCCTTCGGCTCAAAAATTACCCGTATAGGGTCTTGAGATGCCTGAAGCCCCCACATCCATATACACATATGTCATATATTAGATGAAAAAAACTTTTGTAAGTGTTTTCTATATATTCTATATCTACATATATATATATATGGTACCACTAGTCTTCTTCCTGCAGGTTCTCGTGCTAAAACATGTGTCATACATCGATGGCCCAGGCTCATGACCCCAGAGGGCGTACAGATCTGCAGACCCACAAAGCGCGGGTTGTTTCGGCTCAATTCCGCGGTCTGGAGGAGTTCGAAGAGGCACCAGGACCTGGGTTTAAAGTTAAGGGCTAAAAGGGTTTAGATGGTTTAGGGTTTAGGATTAAATAGTGTTTAGGGTAAGGGTTTATAGGGTTTAGATGGTTTAGGGTTTAGGATTAAATCGTGTTTAGGGTTGATAGGGTTTAGGGTTTTTAGGGTTTAGGGTTTAGGCGCTGGGTACCCGAATTCCTCTCGAAACGTTGTACGGATGTAGAGGCTTGTGTAAGGTTGTGGGATGTTGGTCCTGGTGCTTTTGGCAAGCCTGTGTACAGGACTTGGTCAAAGGGGCGGCAAGCCAACGTGTCAGGGATACATATATATATATATATTATGTAGCTTTCTGGGGGAAACACAACTAGCAGTGCTCTTCCCCGCGGCACCTGGTGAGGGGCAGGGCATCGTTGTCGAAGACCATCACTGTGCCGATGCACGTTCCACTGCGCAAGGCCAGGTAGAAGGAGGACTGGTCCCAGCTGAAGCCAACCTCTTGCTAGTACAGGCATCATGACAATCATGACTTCTAGCATCGAGATGAAGCTAGCACCACGGAAGCCTGTACCAGCATAAGCAATCCAAGGCATATGCAAAGCAAAGCCCCTGTGGGCTTCATGAGCATGAATCCTAAACCCTAACCCTAAACTGGCTTTTCCTTGTGCCCGGGAAGGTGAAGGGAGCCTCCTCGTCCACCCGCCACTGGTTGTTCGCAAAGGAGCACACCCAATAGGATGCCAGCCTTGACAGCCCGCCCTAAGCCCCCCCCACCCAAAAACCCAGCAATTCAGGCCAGGAGCCTTTCTAGGAGGTACTAGTCCCTCTGTAGGAGGGTCCTTGGAGTCTTGGGGCAGAACAAGGGCACCCTACTTTGGGTCCATAACTTTGTAAGGGGACCTTCACCAACAAAAAAGGAAAAGGGCACCCCTGGGCTACCAAGCAGCATCCATGAGACCGGGCTGGGATCCGATAGAGTCTCGGCGTGCTTCCGCACCGTGCCGATGAAGTGACAGAAGGGCGTGCCCCAGTAGTGACTGACGAACCTTGGCTGCTCCCAGGCACCCTGGCTGCTCCCAGGCACCCCTTATACTCTCTGACATGGAATTAGTTGAGGCTCTTCTGAACTGTAGGCTCCCCTGAACCCTAAACCGTAAACCCTATACCCTAAACCCTATACCCTATAGCCTAAACCCTAAACCCTATACCCTAAACCCTAAACCCTAAGCCCTAAGCCCTAAGCCCTAAGCCCTAAACCCTAAAGGTGACTTCTGGCTTTTTCCCGGGTTCCTGATCCAATTCTTGGGCCCGCGACTGTGTTGCTGTGAAGGCGCTTCAAATATGGAGGTTTCCGACATTAGGGGTACCCTTTTGAGGGGTCCTGTCTTAAGGGAATCCTACATAACTGTTTGGGGGTCCTTCTTAGGGGTCCCCTATTTTCTTAAACCCCCCATATGGGTTTTTGAATATCCAGGAAGCAACAGGCTTTGCCAAGTTCCCTTGAGCATCAGTATTTGCTATACAGCAACTATGACGGGCGGCTTGGCTTAAGTTGCCCAAACACCAACTCAAGTGCATCTTCTATAAACCCTAAACCCAAAACCCAAAACCCTAAACCCTAAGCCCTAAACCCTAATCGATTCAAGTTCCTCAACACCCGCCAAGGATAGTAGTGAGCTCTCTCTCTCTCTCTCTACATTTTGACCTTTTCGAGGGTCCTCTCGTTGCAATACGGCCCTTGGTATTGTGGGGTTTAGGGTTTAGGGTTTAGGGGTGTAATGCATAGAAATCTGATCAAATAAGTATAAGGACAGGTCACTTTACACAGTCGAGAGTAGCTAATATACTGACTGCGGCGAATAAGGTTCTTCCTCAACTCCAAGTAGTAGGAAGAAGACCCCGGATGTTCCCCCCAAATAAGTATAACCCTCAGTATAAAAAACCCCCCAAAAGCAATAATTGGGTACCTAAACCCTAAACTCATGTTCTTAGCTGTCCAGTACCTAGGGGTTTTAAAGGTTAACCTTTGGGATTGTAAGGGGAGTATATTAACCCAAAAAGGTTAAAGGTTACCTACTCTACTCCTAAGTGTTTAACGCCAAGGTCAGGAAGCCACTGGAGACAGCAGGACCCAGCGAGCTCAACGTAGGAGACCTTGCGGTGCCTTGTCAGGGGCTTCACCATGTTCGACACCACGTAGTACATGTTTCGGCTGCAGATGTAGGACCTTGCCAGGGCTTGTAAAGGAGTTTAGGGTTTAGGGTTTAGGGTTTAGGGTTTAGGGTTTAGGGTTTAGGGTTTAGACAACCAAGAATGGATTCTGGGCGGCATTCACAACATTCCAACGAAAACATGCAAACACAACTGGGGGTTTGCGCTAATCAGGGGTACCTTCCTAAGCTCTTAGGGTTTGGGGGTCTATCTTAGGGATCCCGTATTTTCGTAAACCCCCCCCAAAAAAAAACCGTCTTAAGGCGTCTTCAGGGACTGCCAGAAGATGAAGAAGTCCCAGAGCTGGCCGGCGGTGATGCCACGCTCCTGCCCCCGCGGGCAGGACCGCTGTGGGTTGTGGTGGAGGTCCTGTAGCTGGCGCTCGAAGCTGCAAAGGTCCCGTTGCAAGTCCGTGTGCTTGAGAGCTCTCTGTCTCCAGCAGCTGAAGCCAAGCGCCGCAAGGGCCCCGATGCACATCATGAAGAGCTCCAGGTAGGTGGCATAGAAGCCGTGGCTCTCCTGCCATATGTTGGCCATGTAAAGGATACCGGCCAAGCAGCCCCACAGCAGCAACATCCAGCAAGTGAATGGCACTCCAAACGTCCCGGTCATGCGGGCGGAGTGGCAGGGCCAGAAGTGTAAAGTACCACAGGATGTGTCTGTGTCCGTAGCAACGGCGTTGCCTTGCTTGTCACAAAGAAGGAGCTGGCGCTCGCTCACAAGCTTCACGGTGTAACTTCCCTGGTCGAGCCAGGGGACTTCTGTGTGCCGAAAGGAGACCCTGGCAAGTCGATTGTCAAGCAGCCAGTGTCTTCCTGTTGTCGAGATAGTGACGCCGGCCGGCTGCAACCGGACGTCTGCCAGCGGCACAGTAGGACAGAACATCCACGGCAACAGAAGGACGAGGAGGATGGAGCACAGCACGACCCCGATGGCGATGGGGATGTTGATGGCAGCGAAATCGCAGGAGGTTCTGGTAAGGTCTACGACAGAACGGAAATATGGACTGCGGCACCTGGAGCAAACCGCACTACCAAATCGAGACGAGAAGTGACCGGCCTCGCAGATTTTGCACTGCTCAATGTTGCCCGGCTTTGCCTTGAACCAACCTGGGTAACATGGCTGACACATGAAGAGCTCCTCCTGGGCGTACTGCTGCCCGGGTGGGCACTCACCGTTCTCACAGCCATCCCCTGAGAAGGGAGGATTGCAAGCACATGAGCCGTTGCCAGTGATGGTGGCCAGCTGAAGGCGACTCTGGCGACTGCCTTGCAAGCTGCGGAGAGCTGTTGCATCGTCTTGGCAGTGGCCCCTCCTCGAGCACACGAAGCCGTCCTCTGCACCCGGGCAGGGTAAACACTCCCGGGACAGCGTTGCAGCCGGTGGTGCCGAGAAGTAACTCTCATCACAGCCTGAACAGTCCTTGAGGTCGTAGCCCAGGATGCAGGAGCATGTGTCGGACGTACCCTTGGTGAAGCCCCGTGACAGGCACCAATCGTGCTGGGAGCAATGGCCCCGATTGAATACCAGTACCCCTGAGAAGTCACCGGTGAATACCCCAGCCAGAAAGTCAGAATCTCCATCCGAATCCCAATCGGCAACGTATGGCATCACGGAGAAGCGTGCTCTGACTGTCTTCACTCTTGCCAGGGGATTCCTTAGCTTTGGAGTAGTATATACTTTTTAGGTTTAAGTAGCTATTCTAGGAACCCAGAACCAAAAAAAGTATTAAAGTGTAGCACTCCAAAGCCCAGATTCAGGTCCCCGGTCAGCTCCAAGAAGCTCTGATTTTCAAGCTGCCGGAAGAAGCGCACGCGCCCGCGATGGGTCCCAACCAAGATGTCGAGCTGGCCATCCTATACTCCCCTCAGAACCTTAACAAAATAACATTCTTAATCTCCTCTTGGGTTTATATAAAGAAAAAATGAAAAAACTGTTGGTGGGACATAGCATCTCCGTCCCAGTCTGCCACCTCCACGGCGCTACCCAGGCCGACATCCACTCCGTCGAAGGGGTTCTCTGCGCCAAGGCGCTCCTGCAAAGACCCGTCATCCAAGCGCTTGAAGTAGCGAATCTGGCCGGAAGCACCTGCAACCAAGAAGTCGACATCCCCATCAGAGTCCCAATCGATGGGTCGTGGCACCACCAGCATTTCTCCATCCGCCACGAAGTCATGCAAGGGATTCTCAAGTCCCACGCGCTCAATCCTGTACTGAACTTGGAACCCTAGAAAAAATTGATGTTTATGCTGTTTCTTAGGAATTCTGGTACCCAAAAAACAAAAACTACTTCCAAGTACCCCTATAAGAATCAGACTGCCATCCTTCAGGCGCTCAAAGAAGCGCACGGATGCATCCTCATCTCCGTCTGCGTGGAAGCCCGACAAGAGAAGGTCCATGTCCCCGTCGCCATCCCAGTCCACCGCACGTGGTACAGCGACAACATTGGACATGATGCCATCAAACGGGTTTGCGCCCCCCTGGCGATGAACAAGTCCTGCATGTAACATGCAGGTGAAGATGTGGCAATGTCATGGTTGGTAATCCTCGCTCGCTGCCTCAGCATGCCTAAGCATGCATAAACCCCATGCATTGGGATGCTCCCCCTTATACTAACAGTCCTGAATAGGGATTGTAATAGGGGATACTATACTTCCTTTGTAAGGACTGGTAGTGATTATAAGGGGGAACAGCCCAACCCATGAATCACCTCCCCTGGTGGTCTCGCTGAAGTCCTTGAGACGTGCGCTCGTAGTAGTCCACGGTGCCATTGCTACATCCCACCAGCAAGTCGATGTCGCCGTCGCCGTCCCAGTCTACGGCACAAGGTACCTGCTCTTGAGAACCCTGGGCGGCAAAATTTTGAGCTTGGGTTGAAGGTAGCACGCTTCACTAGCGAGAACCGGGTTTTGGGGGGGTTACTAATGGTTACCTTCTACAGGGGCCATATAAGAGAAGACGACTAGTAATGTTTCCGACCCTGATATTCGGGGCACGTAGAATCTCGCCACACCGCCGGGCTCAGCCAGTCCATGAGGGCCCGCCCATTCTCCCTCCACCAATCCTTGTAGCACCCGCTCACGCACGAAAAGGCGGAGGCTGGAGTTGGACTGGACCTGGGATGTTTAGGGGTTTTTGGGGTTTAGGGTTTAGGGTTTTCGGGTTTCGGGTTAAGGAGCTTTAGGGTTTCCTGTTTAGGGTTTAGGATTTAGGGTGGGCGGGTGTTCGGTTGTTCATGGTTCTTGGTGCTGCTGTAGAGCTGTAGAGGTGGCAGGTTGATTCGCTTCAGGGAAGGCTGCTTCGGGCATGATGCAAACAAAGCCATGTTCAAGAGACCTGCCTTTCGATCACAGTCAGCTTACCTTGGGGCAGTTTTGGCTTGATTGGTCACAAGATGCTAGAATTTGCAAGGCATGATTCTGATCTGGCGCCTCCAGCACGATTGTAAAGCAACATGAATATTTCTGCCTCGGCGCTTCTTCTCGGCTGCTTGCTGCAAATAGTGCTACGGCTACTCCTAGCCCTGGTTCAACTCCTCCTCCTTCTGCTTCCTCCTCATCCTGGCATTTCCATGCAGCCACCCCCACCATCATCGAGACTGCTTCCCCCGACAGCGTTGAAGACGAGTTGACGAGGAAGAAAGAGGACGGCGAAGACGAGGACTGCGAGGACGAGGACGAGGAAGGTGAGGGGCGATGAGGACCAGGGTGGGGAGGAGGAAGGGCAGAATAACGGGAGGGCGGGGATGAGGGTGGGTGGGTGGGTGGGGGTTTGACTGGCGGCAGCGACTGTCACCTGGGATTGTAACTCGTCATACGTGGGCTGCCAGAGAGCCCAATAGCCCTTAACTAAGGAATCTAAACTATGTTGTAAAGGGATCCTTAAAATAATGTACGGCATATTCCTTATAAACTATGAAGGGGTCCCTGGTATAATTTAAGGTATACGCCTTATGGTTAAGGGATGTTGGGCTCATTGGGCCCTCCAGCTTGCCGAGCCGCATTGTTGACAATGATGTCCAAGGCCCCGTCGCCATTCCAGTCCACGAACTGAGCGTAGGAGGTTTAGGGTTTAGGGTTTAGGGTTTAGGGTTTAGGGTTTAGGGTTTAGGGTTTAGGGTTTAGGGTTTAGGGTTAGGGGATTTAGGGTTGGATATTGAAGAAGGTTCCTGTTTATGAAAGCCAGAAGAGGGTTAGGAAGGGTTCCCCTCTTAAGGGTCCCCCCTTATCCTACCTAGGAGGCACAGGAGCGGCTGTCAACTTCAGGAGCGCTCGCGGGTTTTTGGGGTGTGGCACTTGAGCATCTTTGGAGGGAGTTGTCAAGGACTAGGGTTGAGGGTTTAGGGTTTAGGGTTCAGGGTTTAGGGCTTTAGGGCTTTAGGGAGAAGTTGGTCACAAAAAATCTCTCATGACAGTTTGCAAGTGAATGCACAAATCTTCTTCCTCATCATCCCTGCCCCGGCCAGAGCAGCTTCCAGCCTCCTCCCCAAGCCCTAAGTCGCTGCACCCTGAACCCCCAACACCCGGGTTTAGGGTTTAGGGTTTAGGGTTTAGGCCTACCAAGCGCACGTTGCCAAGGCACGCTGAGCTGTTGGAGGTTCACATCCCGGCGCTGAAGGTCGTAGAAGGGATTGAGGTGCAGCTGCCGCTGCACCAGCGTGCCCCGTGCAGTCCGCGAGAAGTAGCGGAGGTTCTCGCCGACATACCTGGGCTCAGGTTTAGGGTTTAGAGGGTTCAGGGTTTAGGGTTTAGGGTTTGGGTTTAGGTTTAGTTTTTCCCAGACAGTCCAGGTACCTTTGTAAAGGGAGTCGTCAAAATTCATCCCCTCATGGGCATATCTACTACTGGCACCCTCTGCGTCTTGGGCTTTGAAGGTCTATTCAGGGTTTTAGGGTTTACGGTTTAGGGCTTGGTAGCCCAGTAACATCCAGTAACCACATTATAATAAGGGCGGCCTTTTTTGGGTTGGTTACTTTAAAAGGGAACCTTGAACGAAAAAAAAGGTAAAGGGTACCACTGGGCTACCAACGGGTTTAGGGTTTAGGGTTTAGGGTTGCCCCTGAACCGCCCTGGTAGCTGCCTGCGAACTTTGCTCATCACGGGAAGGAGTTCTGGAGGGTCGAGGGCCCGGGAGGTCCCAGGGTTCGTCCCAGGGTACCCAAAAAGTTCCCAGAACAGCCAAATTCGCGCAGGGGACCCCCCTAACGGCATCGGTTTGCAGCTCCGCCAAGCGACGGGCAGGGGGGAGGGGGGGGAGTGCGTCACAAAATTGGGCATGGGAAGGTTGGTTAGGGAAGGACCGGGACTCAGCTTTGTCCAAGCAAGCTCCAAGTCTGTACAGCGAAAAGAATGGCCTGTCGGGATCTGACTTGTCTTCATGAAACAAGGACCCTAAACCCTAAACCCTAAACCCTAAACCCTAAACCCTAAACCCTAAACCCTAAACCCTATAAACCCTAAACCCTAAACCCTAAGATTATAACGGGATCGTTTTGGAACTTCGCTGGGCTCATGCGTTACCTGCAGCTGCTGAAAGTTTCTGCTGATCTGAAATGATATCCCAGTCCATGAAAACATCTGCTTATACACGTGTCTACGTTGGCAAACCCGCCTGCATGCCAAATAAAACATCCTAAACCCGCAGCCCGATGCCCCAATACACCAGCGAAGGTGCATGAAGAACTAGCTAACTAACTTTGTTCGGGTGCCGGCAGCCCCCAAATAATACACCAGCGAAGGTGCATGAAGTCTGCATCACCGTCCCCATCCCAGTCCGCAGTGTGGATGTGGCAGGCTTCGTCCTGCTTGTGCACCTGGAAGCCTCCCGAAGACATGAACAACAAGCGGTTGTTGTCAACAGCCCTAAACCCTAAACCCTAAACCCTAAACCCTAAACCCTGAACCCTAAACCCTAAACCCTAAACCCTAAACCCTAAACCCTAAAACTTAAACCCGTTTTGCGAAGCTCCGAGAGGGTGTAGGGCTGAGGGTTTAGGGGTTCGGGATGCTCCAAATGGTTAGTCATGCTTTTGAAGAAGGCCTACGGTTCAGGGCTTAGGGCCCCAGTAGGAAGTAGTGGGGAGTCTTAGGGAACCGTGGGTTACATACCCCTCCCTGGAACCCCCCTCCCTTAAGAACCCTAGAATTAGCTTGGCAGCCTAGCAACCATGTTATTCTAAGGGCACCCTTGTTTGGGGTTGGTTGCTTTACAAGGGAACCTTGCTTTACAAGGGAACCTTGAACCAAAAAATGGAACCCTAAACCCTAAACCCTAAACCCTAAACTGCCCAAGTTAGACTCTGCCTGCAAACGGGTTCGCGAGCCCGGTCAGCTCCACGAGTTCCTCCGGTGCCGAACCTGACGCCACGCGCGCACGCGAAGCCCCACGATTTCAAGCTGGGTTTAGGGTTTAGGGTTTAGGGTTTAGGGCTTAGGGTTTCAAAGGGTTTATGCAGTTCAAGCTTGGTATAGTGTTTAAAAAGTGTATTTTATACCGTTTACCTAGGATGCGCACAGGGTTTCTCTAGACTGTATCTTCGGCTTGAAAGGCTGATAGGGCTTAGTGGTTCGGGTGCTTAGGCTTAGGGTCAAGGGCTGAGGGCTCAAAGCTTAGGTCAGGAAAGAAATCTAAAACTGCTGCCTCGCCGCAGGTACAACTACAGCTTTTGGGTAGCACGATCAGTGCAAGACGACCCCTGCCATGGCAAGCTAGCACTTTGGAAAACGTTTCAAGCCGCCGGAGCACCTAATACAGGAAGGAGCCTGCCACACTTTCCAATAGTTTCCCCTTGTACTCCCCGAAAAAATGTAACTTAAATGATGCCCATTCTAATTCAAAAGAAGGGGTCCCCTACAGAAAAAAATCATTAGACCCCCCCTGGAAGCCCCCAAACCCTGGTACGAACCAGCAATGAAATCCTGCGAGACCCCCCCTCACCCCCCCAACATCCGAAGAACTGACAGCTGAGCCCATCCCAACCAGCTCGGGTTTAGGGTTTCGGGGCTAGAGTTTAGGGTGTAGAGATTAGGGTTTCGGGTTTAAAGTTTAGGATCCCCCCACCCCCCCCACCCCCAACCCCCCACCCCCACCCCCCCCACCCCCACCCCCGCCCCCCCTCCCAAAAAAAAGAAAAGCCCGGGAACGTTCGAAGTAGCGAAGTTTGGGGCTGTCTCCACAGGCGATCAGATCAAGATCACCATCGCCGTCCCAGTCCACCACGCTGAAGCCGAAGGGACCGGAGAGGGCGGAATACCTGGAGGGTAGGGGGCTTTAGGGTTTAGGATTTAGGGTTTAGGGTTCAGGGCTAGTCCTTCATAGGGATTCTACTGGGGGGGGGGGGTGAAGAAAATCCCTATGAAGGACTGCTGGTTTTTGGGGGAACATCCCAAGGTTGGGCTGATGGCTGGGTCCAGGTCTACAGCCTGCACGTCTATGGCTTAGTAGCCCCAGTAACCATATTACAACAAGGGCACCCTTTTTTTGGTTGGTTACTTTATAAGGGAACCCAAGAACCTAAATAAGGGTAAAGGGTACCACTGGGCTACCAAGATGGGCATGGCAGTTTCGGGGGTGCTTGGCACGTAGGTCTACGCAGCAGGCCGATCAGGGGAAGTTCTTTTGAGTTCGAGGAGCGCAAGTTTCGCGTCACGTCTTGAGGATGGTAGGTTTGGGGGGGATCCAAAATGCAGGAACCGCTGTTCTTCTACTTGGATTCCAGACTGAGCCCAGCTGACCCTCGACTTGGCACCCCAAACCCTGAACTTTCCAACCCGAAAAGCTCAAACCTCTCCACATGCCATCCTTGCGCAGATGTTTGGGTTGGGTTGTGGGAGAGGGGGGGGGGTTTCCTGTTTGACAAAGGCCGCATGAAAAGCAAAGATGGCCATCGGAAGAGGGCCTGGCAAAAAGGGGGACCCCTGACTGCAACAATGGCAGCTGGTGTTGCGGGCTTCGTTCGTTGTCTTGAGAATTCTGGCACCTGCCCCCTGTACGCTAACTTAAGTTTCTCCCCCACTCTCGCTGCGTGGGGTTGCTAGATTTTTATGCTAAACTCTTCTCCTCACCCGGTCTGCTCCTCGCCCGTCACCCATATCGCACCCAAGAGCGTCCCCAGAGTGTCCCTGGAGTGCCCAACCCCAAAAAACCCAAATCTGCAGGGAGCATCATGCTCGAAGTAAAGTGATGCTGCTTGTTTAACAATAGGGTTTCCTGTACACAGACCGAATGCCAGAAATCTCTAGAAAATCCCAGCAGTCGCCGGGCTCCTGAATCGTGAATCCGCATGCAATCAAAGCTGCACAGGACCCCTGTCGAGCAAGGCATGCTCGTCGATTCGCTGGTAGAAGTAGACCTGCTGGGCGCGCTGGGGGCAGACGATTCCAAATCCCCCAAGCTCACAGCCTTCTGGGGAGCAGAATAGAACCCTACAAACGGGTAAGCTAACTATTCATATAAATATAAATGTAAATAAATCTATATATATATATATGTATATATATATATATGGTGCAGCGTCGCTGCCCCCCCCCCCCCCCCCCCCCCCCCCATGGTACCCCCCCCCCATGGCCCCCCTGTGGGGTGGTGTGGTTGGGGTTTGGGTTGAGGTTTAGGGTTTAGGGTTTAGGGTTTAGGGTTTAGGGCTTAGGGTTTAGGGTTTAGGGTTTAGGGTTTGGGGTTTGGGGTTTGGGGTTTGGGGTTTGGGGTTTGGGGTTTGGGGTTTGGGGTTTAGGACTGGGGTTTAGGGTTTAGGGTTTAGGGTTTAGGGTTTAGGGTTTAGGGCTTAGGGTTTATTGTTTAGGGTCCCCGCCCCGCCCCCCTGTGGTTTGGGCCCCCCTGTGGGGTGGTGTGGTTGGGGTTTGGGTTGAGGGTTTAGGGTTTAGGGTTTTTTTTTGCCACCCGCTTAGCTGACCTCTCGGACACTCTGCAGGGAATTGGCGGTTAAATATCGGGTGTCAAAAACCGGGCTTTCGTCCAGGCCGAGTTCGAGCTACACCCCCGGTTTAGGGTTTAGGGTTTAGGGTTTTGGGGGGGTGGGGCGGGGGGGGTGGGGGGGGGTGGGGGATAACATTGGGGGGGGGGGGGGGGGGGGGGTGGGGGGGGGGGGTACCGACACGGGACACGGAACCATATATGTATAGACTTGTTGTTCTTATTCTTAGTATTTTGATTCTTCTTCTTATTCGTAGTTTGTGCAGTCGAGGGAGTGTTTTCTAGTGGTTAAGAGAGAGTCTGCCGTCGGCTTGTAGAGGGCCTTCTAGAGGTTGCTGATACAGAAAAAATAGGGAACTGCCTAGCTGCAGACTGCACGCCAAAACCCCAATGAACCCCCCCCCCCCCCCCCCCCCCCACAAAAAGAAAAACACTCATAATTGAATGAACGAAATAATAACAATAACAACAATAAGCCCTGCGAATTCCAGCACCACCAATGGCTACGCGGAGCCTGTCCATCCTCGGCACCAACTAGGAGATCTAAGTCGCCATCTCCGTCCCAGTCCACAAGCCGCGGCACAGCTAGACCTGCAGGAAGCTTCAGGGCGTTGCGTTTAGGGTTTAGGGTTTAGGGTTTAGGGTTTAGGGTTTAGAGTTTAGGGTTTAGGGTTTAGGGTTTAGGGTTTAGGGTTTAGGGTTTAGGGTTTAGGGTTTAGGGTTTAGGGTTTAGGGTTTAGGGTTAGTTTAGGGTTCTGGGGCTTAGGGTCTACAAGGTGGTTCCACAGAACAAACGCTGTTCTGTTCAGCAGACGCGTTCGGAAGCGTTGAAGGCTGAGGATGCACACCCTTACTGTACTTAGTTGTCCAGTACCTAGGGGTCTTAAAGGTTAACCTTTGGGATGATAAGGGGAACATAGTAACCCAAAAAGGTTAAAGGTTGCCTACTCTACAACTAAGTGCATGTCGGCATCTACCCAGTTCAGAGAGCACCGGAGTGCAAGATTTGCATTAAACAGCTGAGTTGGGATTGTCCCCCTTAAACTAACAGTCCTGAATAGGGATTGTAATGGGTACTATAGTCCCTATTAAGGACTGTTAGTATAAGGGGGAACATCCGTGATCATCGCTCGAAGTAAGAATGGCGGCGTGTGTGGTCGTCGCTCGGATATGGCAATAGTCAGCAAACTCTGGCAAACTCGATACCATCGTCGCAGCCCTTGAACCCTACACCCTCAAGCCCCTAATCTTGATATCATTCAAAAGGCCGAAAACGAAACATGCCTCGAAACTTTCCCCGGACATAAATTCAATAAATTCACTAAACCCTAAACCCTAAACCCTAAACCCTAAACCCTAAAACCTAAACCCTAAGCCCTAAACCCTAAACCCTAAACCCTAAACCCTAAACCCTAAACCCTAAGTCAACCCTAAACCCGAAACCCCACAGCCGCTAGGCGCCCTGGGCCTGGCACTCGTACCGAGTGGAACGGGCTGTCGCGTCCGGACCGCTCTGCCAGGTTGTCTCCCAAGTTCTCGAAGTAGTGCAGGCTGCCAGACGCATCCCCCACCACGACGTCCACATCCTGGCTATTTGCCCACAGTTACAGCTTCTGGCGTGTGGATCTTATGGATTCAGGTCAAAGAGGTAAGCACGGGCTACTCGGTTCGGTTAAGCGAATAAGTTCAAACAGAGCTGCGAGTACGGCCACTTGAAGCTGCCCTAAACCCTAAAACCCTAAACCCTAAACCCTGAACCCTGAACGCTGAACTCTGAACCCTGAACCCTAAACCTACCTCAACTCGACCGGAGATGAACTCGAAAAATCACAGGGTCGAACTGGGCCCCACCCTCGAGGGGGTCAACAGAATCAAAAGATGGGGATTTACGAAAAGAAGGGGTACCCCACATGTACCCCAAAATACTATTCAACCCCTTTCAAGGGCACCCCCTGTTTTCGGAAACCCCCAGATAGGGTTGTATAGCTGGGCCCCTCGAGGGGCCAACAGATGTTGTTCTTGAGGCTGAACCCTAAACCCTAAACCCTAAACCCTAAACCCTAAACCCCCTAAACCTTCGATTCTAGATGTCGAGCAAGCGCTTCAGGACTCGGTTCGACAGACTTCGCAAGAGTCTCCTGCTGCAACCATTTTTGGGGTTTACGAAAAAAAGGGACCCCTGCTATAGACCCCAAATAGTAGGGCTCCCTTCTAATGAGAGGAACTCGTCAACCCCCAACTGGTTAAGCAGGAGAATTCCCTCAAATCCGACAGCTTTGGGTTTGGAACGAAGTTGCTCCTGCATGCACCTGAGATGCTGACCCCAAACCCGATAAACCTCCCAGCCTTGCCCTTAACCCTCAACCCGCCTATATAAACCCTAAACCCTCAACCCTCAACCCTAAACCCCTAAACCCCTAAACCCTAAACCCCAAACCCCTACAGTCAGCCGAGGTGCGCCATCCATATCCCAATCCCCAGCATCATGGCTGGAGCCCGCCGGCAAGGGAAGGTGACTCAAAGCATCCCTCTCCTGAGACCAGCTCGGTGTCTTAGTAACTCAGAAACCATATTCTGATAAGGGCACCCTTTTTTTGGGTTGGCCATTTTCTAAGGGAACCCATAGCCAAAAAAAGGGTAGAGGGTACCACTGGGCTGCTCAGGTTTAGGGTTCAGGGCTTGAGGTCGGCATCCGCAAGCGTCGACAGCTCAACTGCAAGAAGTACATCTGTGAGCCATCTAGACCCCAAAAACTTGAATCCTGAAACCATCAACGCCCAGCGGCCACAAGGAGCACGTGGTTGCCGTAGCTACGCCCGGGAAGCGGGGCACACCACGGGACGTTAGACGTCCCACCTTGCGCCAGGTGGCCGGAGACGAAGAGGCTCCAAAGCCAGGGAGAAGCTCGCCGCAGCGCATCTGGGGCCATGATGAGCCTTTTGGGCTTGGCATTTGAGGCTCATTCAACGTTGGTATGGAGTATCATCATGTCAAGCATGGCCATACTGTGAAGTTTTAACTCTGTTTCGCTGGGGGGAGCTGGTTTTTGAAGGCTTGGGAAGCCAGGGGCCTCGTGGGAAATGTGGTCGCAAGTGTTGGTGTGAATTCGGCATGAACAGGGGGGATATGCTTCATTGCTCCTCTTTGATTCAAATGGCTGCGGAGGCACCGACGTTCACATGAACAGCACATGAAACAACTTGCCAGCAGAAGGATCTTGTGACCGAACTTGTGTTCGCACCGACTGATGCGCAGCTGGATTGTGCAAAGGCCGAATGACAAGATCCGCAAGACTCAAGATACGCATCCCCTGTGCACTGGCGCCCGGGCTGCAGATGCCAATATCATCACAGGCACGCAGCAAGTTGGCCTGATGAACACCACCACTTCGGTTCGGACTCCGACCCTTTGAGAGTCAAGCTTCGTGTTGGACTCCAAACCCTAAACCCTAAACCCTAAACCCTAAACCCTAAACCCTAAACCCTAAACCCTAAACCCTAAACCCAGACGGCTGAGCTTGCCACCAGCTTGTGGAAGTGGGGTTTCGCCTGTCAGTTTAGTTCCAAGATCAACACGTAGGGGTTTCGGCACATGGGGTTTAGGGTTTAGGGTTTAGGGTTTAGGGTTTAGGGTTGAGCATCTGAAGCACGGGCAAGTCTTTTCCGGCTGTTTGGGATATGCGAGGACTCAAAACCACGAAGCGAACTGCGTCCTTCCGTGCCATGTCTGAGATCCCAAAAGCCCAAAGCCCAAAGCCCTGTACCCTAAACCCTGCACCTCCACGCAAGGACCACACCAGTCCGCATAGACGTCCAGGAAGACATCCCGGTCGCTGTCGATCACAAGCTCCTAGCAGCGGACAGCGTTCCAGAGCCCCTAAAACTAATCCAGGGTAATCCCTGAAGCCTGGAAACTCCAAATGTTCTGAAAGATGATCCTCTAATACCCTACAATCAGGAAATGGCTTCTTCCACAGGCAACTGCCTGTATCATTTAGAAGGCTGATCACCGCGAAAACAGGCTTCAACCATAGCTAATACTTGAGAGGTAATTTATGCCAGTCGACGGTTTAGGGTTTAAAGTTTAGGGTTTAGGGTGTAGGGGTGAACTGCATGATCCCGCAAAGCCTTGCTTGTTTCGCTCAAGCATTCCTGGCCTTCCCAGGTCGTCCCTAGATCCCCAAGATCCAATATCAACTCCGGTCAAGTATCGGATACGGTAAACAGAGAGTTGGAACATAGTTTAAGGATGAGTAGAGCTAGGGAATTCCCTTTTGTATGGCTTTTGGGGTATCGGCATGGGGATAAGGATGTTCCAACTTTTCGGAGTTTACTGTACACCATGGTTCATCAGAACCTTCCCCGACACTCGGGAAGCGTCATTGTCAAGCAAAATAATGCGGTGATCCGCTCTCTGCAATGTGTGCCATACTTCTGGCCATCCAGCTGCTGTTCTTTGGGCCTGGACATCGTAGACCTCGATGTTGGGGCCTTTGTTTCTCACCAAAAGCCGGCTGCCTCACTGACCGCTTGTGAAGGCTTCCGGCACCATGCGGTCTGGCCTTGCACAGACAGGACTCGAAGGCCTTCTCGGTCAGGCTCCACTGGCCGTCTTGGTCAGGCTCCACTTGGGTTGGGGTCCCAGCTGCAACTGGCCCGGCACTGCTCTGGCATAGGCAACATCATCTCCAATAACATGTTAAACCGGACTTCTCCCTTCATGGAAGCCCTCCATGCTGGGCTGGGCTGTGGCTGAATGAACGGGAACAGACCCCATGAACCTCGCAGCAAATTCCGGCAAAGCAAGCCTGCAGAGACATATGCAAGTCCACTCAGCAGCGAGCATTGGGACAAGAGCTCTGCTGTAGGCAACACGAAGCATCATGATTTAGGGTTCTGCTATCGTCCCTCAGATCCCTATAACGCCTATCTACGATGACCCCTAAAGCCCTCTAAAGCATATTCCTGAATATGATCCTCTTGAACCCAAGAAGGGAAACATAAATCCCAAGGGCCTACCGAGATAAAGAAACTCAAACAACGTGATGGTCTTCCCCGCCTGGAAGGAGTCTGCGACCACCACGGTGAGCCCGGGATGATCTTGGTCCTAGTTTAGGGTTTAGGGTTTAGGGTTTAGGGTTTAGGGTTTAGGGTTTAGGGTTTAGGGTTTAGGGTTTAGGGTTTAGGGGAAGGGAGGGGTCGGCTTCTTCCTTTCCCAGGCACGGATTGTCTGAAGTTTTCCCAGGAACCCTGAAGGTTTCTGACGATTTAGATGGAGAGCTCTCATCTCTGGGTTTCAGTCAGGGCTTCGGTTTTGCTTGGATTCTGTGGATGATTGCCCCTTTTTTTCGGCCCATAAACCCTGAAAATCCCCGAAAACACGAAACCCTACATCGCAAAGCCCTGTAAGACCCAAACCCACCACCACCACCACCACCACCACCACCACCACCACCACCACCACCACGACCACGACCACGACCACGACCACGACCACCACCACCACACCAAGGGCCTTGTCGTCCTTGGGTCTTGGTGCACTTCCCGGCCGTTGGACGCCGCAAACGCAAACCAACTTCTCCATGCGCCTGACGTATGGGATGGGGAGAGGATCGTTAGGGCTTGGGATTCTGGGGTTTAGGGTTTAGGGTTTAGGGCTTAGAGGTTTGGAGTTTTTTTAGGTTGCCTCGGGGGAGGGGGTTCGTGCACAGGAGCGATGCATGTCGAAGATAGGACAAGAATATCAAACGCCGCATCGAATTTCCACAATCAATTTATAAAGGGACCATAAGGAAACACCACTAGGAAATTTTCCGACCCCTATATTCGGCCCTAAACCCTAACCTTTTTTCCAGCCTTTCTCCCGAGTTTGTCGATTCAAAGTCGCTTGGCGGTGAGTCGGGGCTGTCCCCCTTCTTCTGGCAGTGCTTCTGAGAAAACCCTAAACCCTAAACCCTAAACCTAAACCCTAAACCCTAAACCCTAAACCCTAAGCCCTAAACCCTGAGCCACACTACAGTTGCAATTGCGATTGGGGGGCGTGTGCAACCCGGTCTGTTCCGGCGCGGCGGATTGCATTGATTGCGCTAGGTGGTCTAGCCGCGCTCTTCACGGAGCCAGAAAAGAACCTTTATCATGAACTGACCCCTACCGTACAAACACAAAACCTTAGTTTTTGTCTCGGGTGAAACTCGAAAACCGTAAAAAACACTCAAGACATGCTAGCATCCCAGCTTTTGAGGGTTTTTGGGGGCTTAGGCATTGAAAATCTAGACCCTAAGCCCTAAACCCAAATCCTAAACAGCTACACCCCAAACCCTAAACCCTAAGCCCTCAACTCACCCGAAACCCTCAATCTCAGGCAGGAGCTTGCCAGGAGGATTGTAGCGCTTGCACTTGGTGCACTTCCACACGCCGCGCGGGACCTCATTTGGAGGGCTCTGGGGGAAGTCAAGGCCCCAAGCCCCAGAACGCCTTCAAACCCTCGGTTAGAGTTGCGGGTTGAGGGTTGAGGGCTGAGGGCTGAGGGTTGAGGGTTGAGGGCTGAGGGCTGAGGGTTGAGGGTGGAGGGTTCAGGGTTTATGGTTGAGGGTTAGGGTTTAAGGTTCAGGGTTCCGGGTGTAAGGTTTCGGTGGCTCAGAGCTATCTGCCCGAATCCCTAAACCCTAAACCCAAAACCCAAAACCCAAAAACCCTAAACCCTAAACCCTAAGCCCTAAGCCCTAAACCTTGATGGCTTTCAGTGACTTCGGATGCCCTCAACCCCGAACCCTGAACCTTGGACTCTCGCCGAAACTAAAAGTTGCCAAGCCAGTCCACCTGCTCCCCAAGAAAACTCAACACTAGGGTTTCGGGTTTCGGGTTTAGGGTGTTGCGGTTTAGGGGTTAGAGGTTTAGGGTTGAGAGGTTTAGAGGTTTAGGGTACAAACCGAAACCCCTAAAACGAAACCTTGCGAACCCTCATCCTATAAATGCCCTAAGCCCTGTAAGCCAAGCACCCCGATAATAAACCCCAAACCCAACAAACCACCCTATAAGACCCGAAAACTAAAAACAACCCCCAAACACCCTCCAAGCATGTAGAAGCCCAAACAAAACCCACAAGTCCTGTGAGCCATGATAGAAAACCCAATAAAAAAACTCTGAAACATAAACGACATAAACTACACGATACGCTACAAATTCTTCAACCCTATACTACATCCAATATGACCCTAAACCGTAAACCCTAAACCCTAAACCCTAAACCCTAAGCTGGGCACGCCGCCTGTGCCTCGTGCACTTCTTCAAGGCCCAAGGCCCTGCAGCTCAACTCCTGCATGGTTTAGGGTTTAAAAGGTTTAGGGTTTAGGGTTTAGGGTTTAGGGTTTAGGGTGGTGTCTTCTCATGGGACTCTGCCTCAGACCCCTAAGGTTGCACCCCTGGGTTTGGGGGTTTAGGGTTTAGGGCTTGAAGTCAGGGTTTAGGGTTTACGGTTTAGGGTGTTTTTTATATATCCTTTAAGGGAACATAGTTTACGGATTGACAGGTTCCAACGCGCTTCTGCTACCCTTGTTGCTTACTTCGTTGGGTTTGTTCAGAAAATCCGCACCCTAAAGAACTAAAGAACGGGAAAAGGGAACCACTGGGCGTCAAAAGACTTTTCTGGGGTGGCAGGGTTTCAGGCACTCAGTGCTTCGAGCGGCGTTTCTGGGGTGCAGCCTGAGAAGGTACCTTGTCTCACCAAGTCTAAAGCTTAAACTAACCCATGGAAGCAGGTGTTGGTTTGAGGTAAGAGTGCTGCTTTTTTTTTTTTGTGTGTGGGTGCTTTCTCCCACAGCAAAAAAGCCCCCACAAAAGAAAAAAAACACAGGCTCCTTGGTCTGACCGCCGCAAGTGTAACCCCTAACCCCAAACCCTCTAGGCCTAAACCCTGAACCCTAAAAAAACCCTATAACCCTAAACCCTGAACCCCAATCCTAAACCTAAACCCTAAACCCTAAACCCTAAACCCTAAACCCTAAACCGTGGGCGTCCATGCTGCGCAGCTGGCCCCCAGGCATCGCCGAAGCGCTGGCGGATCTGGGATCAAGAATCAAACCAGGGTCCTAGACTTTTAGGGTTTAGGGTTTAGGGTTTGGGGTTTAGGGTTTAGGGTTTAGGATATGATATACTGGTACATGGGCACTTAGGCGGGTTTGGGGTTTAGGGTTTAGGGCTTGTGGCTTAGGGAGCAGTTTGGAGGTTCTGGCACCCCGCATAAAATAGGGTTTTGTGTGGCAGGGGTCTAGGGTGCTGGCAGATCCCATCTCAAAGGTTTAAGGGGTTGAGGGTCGAGGCTTTGCGGATCTTGCGCGGAATCTCCGATGAGAAGGCGAGCCAGGTCCCCAGCGGCGGCAGCAACCGGATACCGCCGGAAGCATCAATAGCCAACGCTTCCTGCCACGCGCGGGTTGTCCGAGATGGAGATGAAAGTTCTATCAAGAAATCCAAGTCCTAAATAGGGGGGTTGTACTTAGGGGTTCCATTTAGCATTTCTTAAACTTAGAAGGATGAGACCATTTTCGAAACCCGCCCCTTGTTCTTGAGTTAGAGCAACCCCCAAACAAAATTTAAACTCTTCGGCCTCTGTAAAGGGCGCGCGCAAAAAAAATCATGAAACCACGTATGGGGTAGGATTTCTGTTATTGGTATCCAGGACGCAACATGTACACTCACGATGTCTACGACAGAATACTTCACCCACCAAAAACATAATTCAAAAAACCTATTAATGCATGTCGGTGCTTTTGTTGGTGTTTATGCAGCATTTGGGCTCACTGCCAAATCTCAACCTCACACGAATCACTTCCCGAAATCTGATAAACGCTAAACCCTAAAACCATAGATCACCTCTACCCCTCGCCTTCTTGAAGGTTCGCTGTCGAAGGGATAATTTTCAGAATGGAAGGGAAAGCAATGGTTGGAAACCTAAAATGACACCCCTTCCCTGCTGCCGTAGTTTCTGAGAGGCTTTGAAGGAAGAGTGAATATGGGCTGTCACATGGAAGGAATATCATATACCATGTTTGCATGCATTAGTTGTGGATGCTTTTTTTCAGGTTTAGTTGTGCTTGATTATACATATACGTAGGTTTTCTGGGGGGGGGGGGGGGGCTGAGAGGGGCTGCCTTAATCCCAAGACCCCACATTCTGAGTCATGCGGGATCTCCTCCAAAGCAGCATGGCTTTTGACGTGGAAGGCCACCTGTGTCAAAAGAAGGGATAATTTACAGGAGTTGATCGTATAAGACAAGGAGAACCACGCCGGTAATCATGTCGCCTCGAGTATGACAGCTCTGGGTATTCAAGTGTTTGCAGTTCTCTTCAACGCCCACATGTATCTACTAAACATCCCACAGTTTATCACATCCCACCCGCAGGTTGTTCTAATAAGAGACCCTAAACCCTAAACCCTAAACCCTAGACTCTAAAAGCCACAACCGTGGCTTCGAGCATGGAGTTCTGGGACCCCCAAACCCGAACCCCATAGCAAGGGTTGCTGTTGAGGATTTTAATCCACGAGCTTAATTAATATGGATGGATGAACAAATCAACAATAAGGTTCTGGACTTTGGATCTGGAAATCTCGGACTTTTTGACTTTTGGGCCTCCTGAACAGTCCTTCGAATGAAGGCCTTTGACCGGTACTGGAACTCGGCATTAGGAAAGACTCGCGCTTGTTTTTTTTGTGCCTGCGGATTTGTTCAGGACGGGCACGTCTCATGCGGGCGGGACCGTACATAGATACTCTCGCTCTGTCTCTCTCTCTCTTCTCTCTCGCGCTCTCTCTCTCTCTCTCTTCATACCGATATCTGTATTCATGGAAAACAAAAGACGCTTCGCACAAACTTGTCTCCTTACTAACTTCAAATAACTTCCTCAACAACTTCAACATCCCCCGAGCACAGCCCCTCCCTCACCTCACCATTCAGGTAGGCAGTTGCAAATCGCTGCTCTGGTTCACTGGCCGACGCACACCTCGAAGTTGGGGCTAGGGCTTAGGGTTTATAGGGTTTAGGGTTAAGGGATAAGGGTTTAGAGTCTAGGGTTGGGTTTAGGGTTCAAAATGATCTTCGCTTTGTTGGGGGGGGGGGGGGGCGGGGGGCTCCCTGTGACGACATGGGTCGTGATGTGTAGGGTCTCCACATTGGATCATAGCGGAAAGAACTGACGATATAGGCCCTTCTTTGCATCCCCATCCAACTACCATCCAGAAAGAAGAAAAGTGGACAACATCCCACTGCGCCACGTGATTGGCAAAAGTCCCGAAAAGCACCAATGAATTAGAGGAGGAGTTCGGGGGGGGGCTTCGGGTTTAGGGTTTAGGGTTTAGGGTTTAGGGTTTAGGGTACAGCCTCCGCAGTTAATTTCTTCTCAACTTCGGAACTTGAGGACCCGGCCGCACGATGAGAGTGAGCAGATTCCACCTTGCCAGCTTTAGGGTTTAGGGTTTAGGGTTTAGGGTTTAGGGTTATTTAAGAAGGCGGCCGGGAGGCGTAAGCCGTAAGCCACTGGAGCTAAGTTGCACTACCACCAACCTCAGCAAAGTGTGCAACTCCGGAACCCCCAAAAAGGCCCTCAAAAAGCTGCAGGCTTCAGGGCTTTCGGTCCCCCAACCCCCCTCCCCCCCCCCCCCCAAAAAAAAAAGAGTAAAAACAAAATAAAAGAAATAAAAGCGCGCTGGGCCGGGTGCTGACCGGGCTTCACCACCTGGCCAAAGAACGCAAGGACAAATGGAATCCATGCTCCTATAACGCAGGAGCCAGAGACCTTCCAAGGGGATACAAAAAAGGGTATATTATACATATATTGTAATATACATATATATATATGTATATTTCTATATTCTCCCATTCCATTGGGGATCCACAAGATCCCTTGGGAAAGACAACCCAGAGGTAGACGCTATGGAGGCCGCTGGAGGTGCTCGGTCTTAAACGCGTTCGCACCTTCTTCTTGCAGGCGAACGCACTGCTCGGCTCCCCCTGCTTCACCTGAGGCAATAGCACGAACCATGCTGTAACAGCTCCCTAAACCCTACAAACCCTCACGCCCTATTGTAAGACCCTGCGCATCCTGTAATCATCTGTAATCGGTACGCTCTACAGCACCCGAATTCAGTGGGGTGTGGTAAGGCTCGACTTCCTGCAAGCCGCGCATGAGCCATCAGATACAACCGGTACTCGCACGACCAAGTCTATGAAGAATCCCCCACCTCAGGGCACGAACTTCCCTGCTGCTCTACATCCGATCGGTATAGAATACGGTTAATGTCATGATGATTGCCCTGGCTGCAAGTATACTTACGACGACGGCTGCTGCTGCTGCTGCTGCTGCTGCTGCTGCTAGTGCTGCTGCTACTGCGACTGCTGCTACTGCTGCTACTGCTGCTAGTACTGCTGCTACTGCTGCTAGTGCTGCTGCTACTGCGACTGCTGCTACTGCTGCTACTGCTGCTAGTACTGCTGCTACTGCTGCTACTGCTGCTGCTGCTGCGACTGCTGCACCTGCTGCTACTGCTGCTAGTACTGCTGCTACTGCTGCTACCGCTGCTGCTGCGACTGCTGCACCTGCTGCTACTGCTGCTAGTACTGCTGCTACTGCTGCTAGTGCTGCTGCTACTGCTGCTGCTAGTGCTGCTGCTGCTGCTGCTGCTGCTGCTGCTGCTGCGCTGCTGCTACTGCTGCTGCTGCTGCTCCTGCTCCTGCTCCTGCTCCTGCTCCTGCTCCTGCTCCTGCTCCATCCGCTGCCAATGCCAGTGCCACTGCGACTGTTCTAGTAACACTTCTACTTGACGACTTCAACTCCCACTGTTTCTTCTGCTGCTGCTGCTGCTAATGCTGCTACCTACCAGTACTATGACTATGATGATTAGATACGACTATTCTTGTTATGAGGCCCCTGGCCCATATTCTGCATTTCACGCCTCCTCTGCCATCTCGCAGTCGGGTGGAGGCCACCACGCCTTGTAAAGCTCCTGCTGATTTCTGCTGCACCCTTAAGGTTTAGGGTTTCGGGTCTAGCGATTTAGGGATGTAGCACGAAGCGCTCCCCAAGTAAGCAAGGTAACAAGGTTTTGCCGAACCCCATGCATGAAGATCCTCTTACCTTAAGCCCTAAACCCTAAACCCTAAACCCTAAACCCTAAACCCTAAACCCTAAACCCTAAACCCTAAACCCTAAACCCTAAACCCTAAACCCTAAACCCTAAACCCTACCTAAACCTGAAACCAAGCCAGGGGCGGATCACAGGTCAGGTACGGGGCCCTCCTCATCTGCCTTGTCGTCCTCCTTCTTCTCACCTGGCAGCTCCACAAGGCTGTGGCACAGGGCTCCCTAAACCCTAAACCCTAAACCCTAAACCCTAAACCCTAAACCCTAAACCCTAAACCCTAAACCTAAACCCTAAACCCCAAAGGTTGTTAGTGTGACCAAGTTGGTGAGTGGGCATGTGAGCATACTTCCACCGTGGGGCTGCCTTCTTTGGTCTTACCATCCTCCTTTTTGTCCTCTTCCTCAGAGTAAAGTCCTGGCTCGGCTGTAACTTTGCAGGCATCTTCAGAAATTATCGCATCGGATGCGATAAACCCAAGCCATTATATAATCACCCAATGAGCCCAACACCCCATTAGTAAGAAATATGCCTTAAATCATATTTGGGATCCCTTTAGAATTTAAGGTAGTACTCCTTATTTAAGGGGTATGGGGCTCTCTAAGCACCCGGTTTCAAAGGGCCCATAGGATCTCATGTCACGCGCCTCAAGTGAACAGCTTGCCCAATCATATAGCCGACTCCCAGAACTCGACAAAGGGGGGTTTAGGGTTTAGGGTTTAGGGTTTAGGGTTTAGGGTCTAGGGTTGTTCGACATCAGCCCCCCCCCTTCGATAAGGAACTGTTAAACTGCATGGTCAATTCTCACGATTTTGGTCCGCCCCCTTATTTTGGGTATCCTAGATCTGAGGTGCCGCCTTGAAAAAGGAAACCCAAGTGCGGACGCAATTTAGAGAAGTGACCATCTAGAGAAAGCCTAAGGAGGAGGTTCAACAGCCATGTCGCAGCGCTCTGTAGCCTATTTACTTGGTAGGGTATTCTGTGCAGTTTAGGGTTTAGGGTTTAGGGTTTAGGGTTCAGGGTTTAGGGTTTAGGGTTTAGGGTGCAGGGTTTGGGGCTTTAAGGTTTGTATTGCGGGTTTAGGGTGTGTGGAACAAATCCGTCATTAATTGTTGCTACTGCAATCCCGTACTATCTGGAATTCGTTCGTCTGTCAGTGCCCAAAGAGACGGACGTGCGCAGCAGACTGTCGTGGATCCAATGGGCTTTTCTACTTACCCTCAGCCACGTAGCACAAACAACAGGTTCAAGAAGAAGGGTCCCCCTCCCCCTCCCGCGCCTCCTCCCGAAACTAAAAGAAACAAGCTGGCTAAGCAGTCAGTCAAGAAGGACGCTCCGTCTCATGCTCAGACAACAGCGCCTTACACTTATGGATCCTGCGCAATCTGAAAAAAGCGGCCCTTCCTCACGTAAAATCTTGTTCCCACCCGTCCTGTAAACCAGGTTCCAACGGAGGGCAGGATGCGAAAGTCGGATTCGCCCTCTTCATTTTGGGCCGCATCCTTCTCGGCTGCTTTTCCCTCCTTCTCAGCCTCTTCTTTGTCGGCCTCCTTCTTCTCTTCCTGTGCCCAAGCATTTTGGGGAATGCCACCCACAGAGAGGGTTTACGTTAACAGGGCTTAGCGTATCAGGGCATAGGCATTCGGGATTCTAGGTTGGGGACACAAGCGTTGTGAGGCCCTATGTGCTGTGCCCGCCTTCTTGTCTTCTGGCTCAGCCGGCGTGTTCGGGCGGGATGCCGGTGTGGTCGGGCGAGATTTGCTTTTCCTGGGCGCCAGAACCGTGCGAAAGATGAATTAAAAGCCAAAGTCATTCACAGCCTTGCTTTTTGATTCGATTCACCGACCATTCCAGACGAAACTTATACAAGGGAGCAAGTCAGCACACGCCCGCAAAGCAGCGACAAACCCGGCAACCGCCATTGGCCAGAAGGTTCTTTTGTTCTTCCAGCCCTTGCACTGCCCTAAATCCTGAACCCCAAACACCACCAACCTCCTGACCCGAACCTCTAGTCAGTGCGGAATAGGAACCTACCGGGTACGGTTAAGCTCCCGTCCTAGAAGAAACCCACACACCTCCACCCCCGGATTCATCTCAAGGGGTCTAAGAAAACAACCCCTAGGACCCTTAATCTTCTTCCCCTATGTAACCCCTATATATACCTTGTATAGTACCTATGCACCTAAGTAGCCCCTAAATTGCCTCCAAGTAACCCCCAAGGTCCCTTAAAAGTGCCCCTCCTCTCGTCCCTGAGCCATCCCTTGCAGGGCCCGAGCCTAGAAGCCTACACATCCACGGATGGCTTCTTGGTTTGTTGGTTTGGGGGCGCGTCGTAAACCCCAAGCAAGCCTGCACCCGGAAATCCGCGAGATCACCTGGGGAGGGGGGGAGGGGGGCCTAAACCCTGAACCTTAGGCTAAACCCTAAACCCTAAACCCTAAACCCTAAACCCTAAACCCCCCCACCCCCCCACCCCCCCACCCCCCTCGCCGAACTTGGCAAGGCCCTGGCTTGGCAGCCTTCGCTGCAGCCTTCTTCTTTGCAAGGCGATCCTTCTGTGCCTGATGGGATGTTCAGGGTTTAGGGTTTGGGGTTTAGGAATCTTGGAAACCTAATTGTAAGGACAAACCGCGCTGGCACTTTTCTTCCCAGCGTAAAGTTGGAAATCCACGCACATCCGCTGAAGTTTCTAGATGATTTCCAACTGTTCGTTCAAACGAGAAGAGCGGAAACAGTGAAAAGCTCGAAATAATGTCTGTAGCCCGCGTTCAAAGTGCTCGAATCAGGCTGGGGGCGGTGGTGGAGGGGAGGGGAGGGTCCGAGTTTTTTGGCGTTCACCAGAGTACTTCTTACTTTAAGTCCCCCGACCCTTCAAGTAATTAGGCTCGTTAGCAGGTAGCTAGAGCATTAGGGTTTGAAAGGCTTTCGAGTTTCTGCCTGAAAGATTCGGCAGTGTACCCTGCAAGCGACGAGGTTGGGATGCTCCCCCTTTATAGTAACAGTCCATGCTACGGATTTTAACAGGGGGATACTATTATAGCTCTTATTCAGGGCCTGTTCCTATTAGGAAGAAGGGGTAACCATCCCAAGGTTCAGGTTTTGACAAGCGCAACAAGTTGCCTGCGCCAGTTTCTCTCGCTCCTCCTTCTCCTGCACAAGATGCCCCCCAGCCGCCAGAATGTTGCGTATAGAGTGCATCTTGGAATGTTCCCCCCCTTATAGTACCCCCGATTATCATCCCTATTGAGGACTGTTAGTATAAGGGGAACATCCCAGAGTGCATCGGACAAACTCAGAACCGATGCGCATGCCGTCACGTGCACACTGCGTTCATTTTAATGCCGTGCGCTGCTCTGTCCGTTCGCAGGCACCTGCACTGAGGGGCTCAAAGATAAAGGTCCATACATAGGATATCGGAGAACAAAGACTTCAAGGACCTTTAGTTAGAGCAACCCGCAACCGAGAATGTTGAACATTTCTTGGACTGCTGCCGCGCCCTAAACCAGCACCATCCCGCAACCCACGGCAACTGCTGCGCCTTTTGCACGCGCTGCTTGAACTCCTCATCGCTGGCCGAACGCAAAGCCAGTGTTCCGTCGTGGAGGACGACCTCACACATAGCCCTGCCGAGCCCTGATCTGGAAACAGCCCAAAAAACAGGCGAAACAAAAGAAACACACACACAAACATCCCTGTGCCCACGCCGATGTCTGTGGCCGTGGCGAGCTGCGCACTCGGCTCGCCCCACATGGCCTCCACAGGACCCTCCAACCATCGATCCCTTCTTAAGGGGGCATGTAGGGACCCTCTCTGAGTTGGAAAAGTTCAAACCAAATCATACAATTAATAAGGGCACCCTTCTTTTGGGTTGGCCACTTTATACGGGAACCCCAGAACAAAAAGAGGGTAAAAGGTACCACTGGGCTAGGGTTTGGGACCCAGGGTGTCCGACTGGAATCAACACAACCAAGGTGTTGTGGGCCAACACGATGAGTATAGGCGCTTGTGGCTCCACGGCTCCACGGCTACGCAAGACATGAGCAGCAGCGTCGCAATTCTTTGTGCAGTGCTATGTGTGTATAGATATATACATATGTATGTGAATATGAATAACAATAAACAAACAAATATACGTACATGTATATATATATATATATATAGCTATGTTGTTTTTGTATTTGTCTCTCGCTGCAAGTAATTACCCTGAACACTCACCCTGTACGCTAAGCCACAATCACAGCACCAGCCTCCTCCGCACGTGGGAAGTCCAGGAGAGCAGTCACTTGGCCCGAACTCGGCGAGAAGTCCTCCCCCGCAAACTGAAAGCTACTTCTTAGAAGCTGAATACCCTAGCGCACAAAAGGCTCACCGTTCATTTGTAGTAGGATTATAGAAACCCTAAACCCTAAACCCCAAAACCCCAAAACCCCAAACCCCAAACCCTAAACCCTACCCAGCCCCGAATATTTTCAACGTGACAGCCGGAAGTATGAGATAGCCGGGGGCACCTGGGGGAGGCTTTGAAATCTCGGGGTCTACTTGGAGGTTCATGGTACTTATAAACCAATTTCTAACTGTACCTACAAGGGTTTAGGGTTTCGGGTTTAGGGTTATAATTGTACTTATAATTGTGCTTGTAACTTGTAACCATATTAAGGCACTTAAAGGGGCTTGTCAGTGGGTTAATAAGTACATTAATCCGCCGACCCCAGACGGGGCGGCGTCAGTGAAGACCCCCCCCCCCAGCCCCCTTACCCTTCCACGCCCACCCCCCCCCCCCTCCCCCCAACCCACCCCCTCGCCCCGCCCATCCATGGCCCATGCCCTTCCACCCCCTCCCACCCCCCCTCCCAACTCCGCCGACCCCAAGTGAAGAACCCCCCCCCCCCCTCCCCTTACCCTTCCACGCCCCCCCCCCTCCCCCAACCCCACCCCCCTGGCCGCCCATCCATGGCCCATGCCACCACCTACCCCTTCGCCCCCTCCCGCCCCCCACCTCCCCCTCCCCGCCCCACGGCCCCATGCGACACTCACTGCCTGCACAGTCAGACTTGTGGAAGGGTAAGGGGACGAGGTGTTGGGAGGGGGAGGGGGTGGTGGGAGGTGGCGAAGGGTAGTGGGGGGTGGAAGGGCATGGTGGGGCAAGGGGGGGGGGGTAAGGGGAGGGCTGGGAGGGGGTGGGGGGGGAGGACCTGGAAGGAGCCGAAAACACTCAAGATTGGAAGTTGGGGGGTGGGGGTGGGGTGGGAGTGGGGGGTGGGGTGGGGGGTGTGTGGGTGGGGGGGAGGGTGGGGTGGGGGGGGGGGGAGGAACAGGGGGGGGGGGGTGGGTGGGGGGGGTGGGCGCAGGGGGTGGTGGGTGGTGCGTGGGGGTGGGGGTAGGGTGGGGGTGGGGTGGGGGTGTGGCCCCACACTCCCCTTTCCCATGCCCTTCGACACTCCCCTTGCACAGTCACCCCCGCCCGCCCCCCCACACCCCCACCCTCCCCCCCAACCCCCACGCAACCCCCCACTCCCACCAATCTTTGGTGTTTTTAGGGGTTCGAATGCACGCCCGCCCTCCCCGCCTTTTTTGCTCCTAGCCACCCAATCCCCGACCCACCCCCCCACCCCCCCCCCCCACCCACCCCCACCCCCCCCCACGCCTACTCCGCCGCCCCTTCCCCACCCTCTCCTTCCATGGTCCTCCCCGCCACCAATAAAAAAATTGCATTTGCTCTTAAAAATGAAAGCAACAGCCCGCCCCCCCCGTCCCCCCACCCCCCACCCCCCCACACGCCCCCCACGCCTACTCCGCTCCCCCCCTTCCACCCCCCCTCCCAACCCTCCCCCCACCCCCCACTCCCCCCCGCCCCCCCCCCCCCCCCCACTCCCTGTCCTCCGCCTGGCCTCCAATCTTTGTGTTTTAGGGGTTCCAATGCACGCCCGCCCTGCCCCGCTCTCACCCCCCTCACTGTTTTGCTTCTCCGACCCACCCCCCCACCCCGCCCCCACCCACCCCCCACCCCCCCCCGCCTACTCCGCCGCCCCTTCCCCACCCTCCCCCCACCCCCCCCGCACACGCCCCCCCCACGCCTGCTCCACCCACTACCCCACAGCCCTCCCCGACCGCCTCCCAGCCCCCCCCCTCTGTTCTCGCCTATCCATTGCCCATGCCCTTCGACCCCCCACCACCTACCCCTTTGCCCCCTCCCACCCTCCACCCCCTGCCCTCACCACCCTCCCCACCCTCTGCCTATACCCATCCTCCTTCCCTGCTTTTCTCCAGCTACTTCCCACTTACCTCACTTGCCCTTGCCACTTTTTCTCCAGCCACTTTCCACTTACCTCACCTCCTCCACCTACCCCTCCACTTCCCCTCTCACCCCCCACTCCCCCCCCCCCCCCCCCCCCCCCCCCCCCCCCACCCTCTGCCTATACCCGTCCTCCTTCCCTGCGTGCCCGCGCCGCCCCCGCCCACTCCGCCCCCCACCCCACACCCCCCATCCATGGCCCATGGCCTTCGACCCCCCACCCTTCGCCCCCTCCCACCCTCCACCCCCTGCCCTCACCGCTCTCATCACTACCCCCTCCCCACCCTCTGCCTATACCCATCCTCCTTCCCTGCCACTTTTTCTCCAGCTACTTCCCACTTACCTCACTTGCCCTTGCCACTTTTTCTCCAGCCATGACCAATGTCAGGATTCCAATCCAGCCCCGCCCCTCCCCGCTCTCACCGCTCACCGCTCTCATCACTACCCACTCCCCACCCTCTGCCCTTGCCCGTCCTCCTTCCCTGCCACTTTTTCTAGCTACTTCCCACTTACCTCACTTGCCCTTGCCATTTTTTCTCCAGCCACTTTCCACTTACCTCACCTCCTCCACCAACCCCTCCACTTCCCCTCTCACCCCCCCACCCCCCCCCACTCCCCTGTCCCTCCCCTTACCCTTCCACGCCCCCCCCCCTCCCCCCAACCCACACCGTCCCTTCCCTTCCCTGCCCATAACCCCATGCCCTTCGACACCCCACCCCCCTTCGCCCCCTCCCACCCCCCACCCCCTCCCAACCCCCTTACCGCTCCGCCCCCCCACCCCCCCCCCACACCCCCCTTTCCCTTTCGCATGGCCCCATCTTCCACACTTCCCCCCCCCCCCCTGCCCCCCCCACCCCCACCCCCACCCCCACCCCGCCCCCACACCCCCCACTCCCCTGTCCTCCGCCTTGTCGGCCTCCCATCTTTAGTGTTTTAGGGGTTCCAATGCACGCCCGCCCGCCACCCCACCCGCCCTGACCCCCCCACCCCCCCCCCACCCCCCCCACACCTACTCCGCCCCTTCCCACCCTCTCCTTCCATGGTCCTCCCCACCCCCACACCTCCCACCCCCCCCCCACCCGCCGCACACGCCCCCCCCCACACCCCCTCCTTCCACTCCCCCACCCCCCCCCACTCCCCTGTCCTCCCATCCCTGCCCTCACTCACTACTCCCTCCTCACCCTCTGCCTAAACCCATCCTCCTTCCCTGCATGCCCGCACCGCCCCCGCCCACTCCGCCCCCCCACCCCACACCCCCCTCACCCCGCCCATCCAATGGCCCATGCCCTTCGACCCCTACCCCTTCGCCCCCTCCCACCCCCCACCCCCTGCCCTCACCGCTCTCATCACTACCCCCTCCCCACCCTCTGCCTATACGCATCCTCCTTCCCTGCCACTTTTTCTCCAGCTACTTCCCACTTACCTCACTTGCCCTTGCCACTTTTTCTCCAGCCACTTTCCACTTACCTCACCTCCTCCACCTACCCCTCCACTTCCCCTCTCACCCCCCACTCCCCCACCCCCGCAACCGGGGTTTGGGGTTTGGGGTTTAGGGTTTAGGGTTTGGGGTTTAGGGTTCAGGGTTTAGGCTTAGCGTTTAGGATTTAGGGTTTAGAGGGCGTAGAGGGTTCAGGGTTCAGGGTTTTTGGCTTGGGGTTTAGGGTTTCGGGGTTTATTCTTCCTACTACTACCACGGCCACTACTCGAAGTTGAAGGGTTTGGGGCTTAGGCCAGGCGATCCTATGAACCCTAAAGGAGCCCAGGGGGGCTTAGGGTTTGGTGAGTTCAGGGTTTAGGGGGTAGAGTTGGTTTAGGGTTTAGGGTTTAGAGCTTAGGGCTTAGGGTTTAGGGTTTAGGGTTTAGCGCTATAGGGGTTCAGGATGGAGGGGGGTTTCCGTTTTAGACCCTTGACTCTTAATCCATCCTAAACCCTAGCCTTCGCAGCCAGCTGCGGCTTTGGGGTCGGCGGCACTGGCGGTAGCCATTAAATAATTGGTTCATAATGACCATGAACCTCCACGTACGCTCGTCGTTTTAACCCCGCATGAGCAGACTGCATGGGCAACTTTGCCGACTACTGCCAAGGAACCGCCACATCGGCTGAGTTCTGTTACTCTTGAGCTTGCACGTCACCGATGTCGTCACTGGTCGGCCACGCTGCCCCAGGTCACAACAGACCCATCGCCAAGAATGGCAGCTAAAGAGCTTCCATCAAGGCGGGTCGCTTGGACCTGATGCACGTCCTTCAGCTGATCTTGAACATAACTGCTACTCCGCATCGCCCCAGGTCACAATGGACCTATTGCGCAGCACAGCAGCAAAAGCCGCGAAAGATGCCTGGATTTGCTGTAGGTCCTTCAGCTGATCTTTCACATGAGCGCTTTCCCCACCATGGATCTCCCCAAGACACAACAGAACCATCACCTAGAATGGCAGCAAAGGCACCACAAGATGCTTGCAGCTGCACCTTCAAGAGCTGGTCTTGCACATGACTGCATCACCAAGAAGGGCAGGAAAACCTGCTAAACTAGCTTGGATCTGTTTCACGTCCTTCAGCTGGTCTTGCACATCACTGCTGTCACCACCAAAATCAGCATCGCCCCAAGTCACCACGGACCCATCGCCCAGAATGGCAGCAAAAGCACTGTGGGTAGCTTGGACTTGCTGCACATCCACCAGCTGGTCTTGCACATGACTACTGTCAGCACCATAGTACTCAGCCGCACCCCAGGTCACAACAGAGCCATCACCCAGAAGGGCAGCAAAAGCACCCCCCCCCCCTCTCACATCCGAGAACATAATCTTTGCGGGTAGCTTGGATTTGCTTCACGTCGCCCTGCAGCCGATCTTGCACATCACCGCTGTCGCCACCAAAGCTAGCATGGCCCCAGGTCACAACGGACCCATCGCCCAGAACGGCGGCAAAAGCCCTGCTGGTAGCTTGGATTTGCTGCAGTTGCCGCCATAGTCTGCATGGCCCCAGGTCACAACACACCCATCGCCCAGAATCGCAGCAAAAGCCCCTTTGTTGCAGCAAACCTGAACTTTGCTCATCTGCCAGGTCAGTGAATCGCCGGACTGCACCCTAGAATCCATCAGGGTGGCCGCTGAGTCCGGTGTCGAAGAGTCTGCCCCTGCCAACTGCCAGAGCCTTCTGTGCTTTCATGCTCAAAGCTCCCACAAGCTCATCCGGTCCTGCTTCAAGTGCAACCGTCCTGCCACTTAGCAGGCCCACTTCAATCGAAATGGACCTCACCGACATCATTCAATGTTTGGAGTCTGCTTTCCATTTTTTTCAGCCACAGCTTGCACCTACACAACAGGAGGACGTGAGCCAGAAAACCCGGATTGCTGACCTCTGCTCCCATTTGCAGCCATAGGCTTGAGGGGTTCACTTCTGAGAGCAAAGCTGAGATGTCCATTAAAGGGGGGAGGTTCCCGATTTGAGTCCATACTTCTCATGGGCTCGCTCCTCCCCACTTTCAGCCCGCCCAATACTTCAGAATGTACCTCACATGACATAACCACCCTAAACAAGGACACGCAACAAACACTGTAAGGCATAATTCGCCTCGGCTTCCTGCCGAGAAGAGTCTGGAATTCTGGGACTCCTCTGGGACCCCCCCCTGGGACCCTCCCCGCTTAGGCCCCGCCCAGAAACCCTCTTTCCCGTCTGCCGATGGGCGCAAGCGTTTACAATTAGCTCCCACACCCTATTCCTCAATCTCAGATATTCCGCCCTTGCTATAATCTATCACGTGGATAAATGAACAAAATCCCCTAAACCAAGCCCTAAACCCTAAACCCTAAACCCTAAACCCTAAACCCTAAACCCTAAACCCTAAACCCTAAACCCTAAACCCTAAACCCTAAACCCTAAACCCTAAACCCTAAACCCTAAACCCTAAACCCTATAACCCTAAACCCGTAATTAACCCTACACTTTCTGAAGAGCCTTGGGCTCCCACTCCACCGAAAAAGGGCACCCTGCGTCCTGCGGCAGCTGAAAGAAGATGGTGAGGCTGTATTCCTGACAGGCACTTCGTTTAAGGTTTAGGGTTTATACAGGGTCTAGGGTTTAGGGTACTGTATCCTCAGTAATCATCAATAAAAGGGTCCGAGTTTACAGAACTGCGCATGTACCCGTCCATGTAGACACTTTGACCTCCTCCCCAAAACCCAAGTGCCTTACCTTGATGCCCGAAGCTGTAACTCCAAAGCCAAGTCAGAACTCTATTTGGTTGAACCCAAAACAAAGAACGGAAACCCCCTGTAGCTAAACCGAAAACACATCCTACTTTCCGTAGTTTCAACGCACAACCCGATTTCCAAAACCCTGATCCACTTCCTTACTTTCGATTGAAACCCGCCTCTAAAAGTACCCCTTAGTCAAGGCCTATGTGGACTTGAAGCAGACCGAGCGGACTCTACGCTCGAAACCCTAATCCCTACAAACCCCACCCCCGAGAAACCCGACAATATAGTGCCCTTCAGATCGTAAACTCCCACATGGACGCAGAGCTGCAATCCCGAAACCTTCGGCTTCATGATTCTCGGTGTAGGCGCAACCCTAAACCCTCTAAACTCTGAACCCTAACCTACGCGCAACAACGCTTTGGTGTCAGGGTTCGGGGCTTTTGAGGTCTATGAAGAGAAGCCGTGGGAGAAATGCCGGGCTCTGCAGACTGGGTAGCTTAGGATTTGGAGATGAAGCTACCACATGAGGGACAAAATATTATATGCTGCATCTGCAAATGCTTAAATGAAAAAGCTGAAGTTGCGTAGGGCAGCTTGTAAGACAGAAAGCTAAACCCTGATCCCTGAACCCTAGAAACCCTTCTGGTCTGTTCCCGCATAGCCATGAACCTTCAAGTATGGCTACGAACTCTGGGCTTACAAGCTTACAAACGAACCCTTGAAACCTTAAACCATGAATCCTACAAGCCCTCAACCCTCACCCTAAACCCTAAACCCCAAACCCCAAACCCTAAACCCTAACCCTTGCCTCTAGGGCTGGACGCAGGCCGCCAAGTCCGGCAAGGCCCGCAGGCAAAGGCAGCGTGAGTGAGCAGCCGGCCTGGAACACAGCGGGTTTAGGGATTTTCGGGGTCTAGGGTTTATAGGGTTTAGGGTTTAGGGTTTAGGGCTTCGGGTGTGCAGGTTTTGCTTTCAAAGCTTACAAGTTGTGTAGGCTCTGTCGCTTTATCGAACTTAGAGCTTCAGGCTTTAGGCTCTAATTAGGCTCTGACCCCAAACCCTAAACCCTAAACCCTAAACCCCAAACCCCAAACCCCAAACCCTAAACCCTAAACCCTGCATGAACCCTCTAGGCTCTACAAGGTACCTTGTCTGAAATCGCAGTTCGGGGTTTCGGGGTCCAGAAATCTCGGGCTTTCAAGCAGTACACCCAGCACTCATGGCGAACAAAACTTGGCTGCACTCCGTTAAACTTTTAGCTGCCTTATTGAGAAACCCAATCAACCCAAAAAAGGTAAGGATCTAAAGTTACAGTAAAGTACCACAAAGACAACATATTCCACATAAGCCTGCTGCAAGGTGCGCGTGAGGTAATTCAGGGGTCAACGGACTGCGGCATGTGCGTCTCATACCCAACAGAGCTGTTTAGGTACCCGGCAACCGTACTTAGACAAAACAAACAGGTCGTTGGGCTGCCAAACTCCATAACGCGTTCTACAAACGGACCCTCTCGGATAGATTTCATGTAACATGGCAGCAAACTTGGCACGAGCCAATGGGAAGTGGCCATGGAGATCTAGAAGCCTGCCAACCCTAAACCCTCAACCCTCAAACCTAAACCCTCAACCCTCGAACCCTGCACGCTAAAGCCTAAACCCTGAACCCTGAACCCTGAACCCTGAACCCTAAGCCGTAAACCCTAAACCCTAAACCCTAAACCCTAAACCCTAAACCCTAAACCCTGCCTGCAGGATGCAGCGCTTGCGGCCCGGAACCAGAGAGTCTGGGTCCACCTCGAAGTCGAATCCTTGTGAGGTTGGGTCACACCCGCTCCAAGAATCGGGGTTTAGGGTTTAGGGTTTAGGGTTGTTCCAGATATACCCCTATAAACCTACGGCATGAGGGCTAATACCTACCCCTCGCAGGTTGGGGGGGTGTGGGTGGAGGGGGCTTTCAGCGCCGAACCCTAAACCTAAACCCTACAAACCTTGTAAACCCTATGATGCCATCGAGACAGGCCGCCCGGAGCCCCCGATGCACAATGCTGGCATAACCCTTGGACCAGAACACCCTGCTTCCAGAGACCATTACAGGCCCAGGCAGTCATGGAGAGGGGTTTCGCTACTTCATAGGGTTTAGGGTTTAGGGTTTAGGGTTTAGGGTTTAGGGTTTAGGGTTATGGTTCCGACTAGAATACGGAGCCGTCTGTTCAGGGTCTAGGGTTAAGGGGCTTCGGGTGTCCAAAAAGGACCATGATCCTTGGGTCCAGCACCTGAAGTCATAGGCAACTCGGAAAGCTCCAGAGGAAAAAGGATGGGAAGCAGGGGTTAGGCTTAGCCCTACCCTAACTCTAAGCCCTAAAGGTGCGGGCTTGGAACTGAGTTTATGGGGTTTCGCTTCGAGGGCAGATGGTTTGGGTCTTTTACGGCTCTACCTGGCCTGGCGCCCAAAAGTGTGTAACAAAAACAGCCCGTAACCCATACAATTAACAAAAAACAACTCGCAATTATCTTACATGCTTTAAAGGGGAAACCCTGAACCCTAAACCCTAAACCCTAAACCCTAAACCCTAAACCCTAAACCCTAAACCCTAAACCCTTGAGGATGCCAAGGGCGCAGCGCTGCGGTGGCGTCGTGAAGGCCCCGTGGGGCAGCCGCGAGCGCTGGAAGCTGAACTCTGCTCCGGTGCCGGCCTCCAGCTGGGGTTTAGGGTTTGGGGTTTAGGGTTTAGGGTTTAGGGCTTAGGGTTTAGGGTTTAGGGTTTAGGGTTTAGGGTTTAGGGTTTAGGGTTTAGGGTTTAGGGTTTAGGGTTTAGGGTTTAGGGTTTAGGGTTTAGGGTTTAGGGTTTAGGGTTTAGGGTACGGGGGGACAACCAAGGAAGGAAATCAACTCCCCTAATCGCCCTGAACTTATATTTCCCAGATCGAACCAAGAAACAACCAAGAACACGGATAAGAGCAACCCAGGGGGGAAGGAAAGGGGGAAGGAATCCACACCCTTACCAAACCCTAAGAACCCAGGCACTCTTTTTGAACTTGTGGCTTTCTGTTCAAGCCCATCTTGAGCCAAATACGATTACCGGGTTCATTAACCCTTCCAACTTCCAACACTAACTCCTTTCTACAATACCAATTGCAGCTCCGCACTCCCCCTGTCCTAGGATTTCCTAGGACACATTGGAGATGCAGATCTTTTGGCCAAAAACTGCCATTACGGCAGCAGCCAGCTGCTTGAAATGCAAATTGTGGTTTAACGTCTTCCAGGACGGAATTATAGCACATTGGCTAACCTACTACCCATAGAGAATCTCTTTTCACCATGATCCTCTCATCACTGAAGACTCCTTGGCCTTCTTCACCACAAACCGTGGTCTTCGCTACGCGAAAAGCTACTGACTTCTACTATCAGGGATTTCCATACCCTTAATAGTAACCACCACCTTTGTCAGCACATTGGCTGTTCCAGCGCACCGGTCTCCAGAAAGAGAAAAACCATCCCTTCATCCATACCATCCAATCACTTCTTTTTCCGATTGTTGGCAATCTTGAGGTGAAGTTGCAGCAGAATATACTCCAGGTCCGAAATCGTAAGAATAGGATCCTGTATGCCCCTTTGAATTGAGGATACCAATCCTTCTCTCTTCGCGTCCTCAATCGCCTGGCAAGATTGATCCAGCTCTTCATTCGCATTGGCAGACCCTGGTGCCTCCGCATCGGATGGACGATCCTTTTCCTCAGGATCTTGCACCATTACCACCTCTTCTTTTTTGGGACTCTGACTTTTCTCCTTCTTCTTTGTCTTTCCACCGACATTTGACTTTGTGCGCGCTTTTGAGGCTTTTTCCACTGCAGAAACCACCACATTGGATGATGATCCACCCTTCTCAATGACCGCCGGCATCTTCTTCGGCTTTGGAACCATGAGAGTGTAAGGATCTTCGATAGCTGCAGCTTTCCTCTTCTTTTTTACCTTTTTCTTCTCCTCCTCAACGGCAACCTCCGTCTCCGAAGTCTCAACCACTTCTTTTTCGGCAGGAATATCTTTGCTGGACTCCCCTTCTAGGGACCTCTTTTTCCCTTTTTTGGGATCCTTTTCTTCTCCCAAATTGGCTCGCTCATACCATATCCTCAGGTCATTGACCCATTCTTCCACCTCCGCGAGCGAAACATCGTACGACTTCACTACTTCGAGAAGTTCCAGCACTGACAACATTTCAGTGGTCCACGAAACCCATACTTGATCCATGTAGTCAGCATCTCCAGTGATCTTCAGGAGTTTGAACAATGGGTCCGCCTCTGCTCGAGCCAAATCTGACTTGCCATTGGACAGAAATGAAATCGCCTCCATCAACAGTTCCGTCATCTTGGTCTCTTCGTCATAAACCATAAAATCCTCCTCATCATCACCGAACTGTTCAGGAGAGATCTCCTTTTTTCCACCATTTGCACCAGACTTTCTCCTTGGACCATCCCTTGGGGGCGTCCTTGGAGACCTTGGCCTCTGTTTTTCCAACGGAACCTCATGTCCAAAGACACACCTGTCACCAAACCGACACTTCCCAGACCGAGCAAACTGGACGCACCTCACACCAGTTGCATCATGCGAGAACTCACAATCCTTTCCAGCGAAACATTCTCTCCCTGCCACATAGTACTTGCACCAATATGAATGTAGCACCACATCATCTTCGGAATGGATGAATTTGCAGTCGTCACCAAATTTGCAGCGATCTTTCCCTTTGCCAAACCAATAGCAGAAACCCTTCTTCCTCTTCTCCAAGCGCTCTGCCTCATACCGGTCCATAGGGCGACTGTGCTCTACATGAACATTGCCATGTACCTGGGGACTGCTCCCTTCACCCGACGTGCTATCAGTATTTGGTGCTTGGAGTACAGCTGGAAAACCTGGCCTTGGTCCTACCACCTTCATGATCGGTTTTCCGCCAACTCCTGAGCCATGCTGAGACGATCCAAAAACATTGAACATCTTCATGAAGGCCTTCCTAGCGCCAATCTTCTGCACCCTTTTGATTGGACGTTTCATTGCTCCAACCTTGCATCCAGATGCATTCAAACGACGCAACCTTCTAAACCCAACTCTATGTCCCTTCTTCCAAAGAGCCATAAGAATTTTAGAGGCAGTAACATTCTCCACCTCTACCTTTTCCAATGATCCCTCACTTCCCGGAACAAACCCATCCATATCTGAAGACCTTTCCATCTTTTTTGACACCACTTCGTCGAGGTAGTCTTCTGAAATCCAGGGAAAGTTCCCCTTAGAGGAAGGATTGTCATCATTGTTTGGTCCTTCACCAGGATATCCTTTGGTGCTGTCAAAGATCTTACCAGTAGTGCGGTCCTGCATAGAGAAATTCGAAGCCACGCGGGAGTACACTGACCACAAGAAAATCCTTGTGTCCGCCAGTCTGGATGACCCACTGGATTTCTCCTCTTCCGGAGAAACTTCTGGCGCTTTGCCCTTCCCTCCAGTGTCACCGCTTGTCTCACCTCCAGCATCTTCAATGGGAATAAGGGATTCATTGTTCCCTTGATCAAGCACCGCATCCTCTAGTCCAAGAACTTCCAGCATCGCTGTCGAAGGATCCACCTCCTCATCCGCATCGTCGTCCATCCTTCTCCAGAGAGCCTCCAATTGGTCCGCACAAGTCGCCGCTTGAAGAAACTCCATCAACCGAGCCCTCCCGCGCTGCCAGAGAAATTCTGAAACCATCACCGACCCTTGTGCTCCCAGATTCAGGAATGGGTGAACCATTTTGGCTACCCTCGCCATAAGTTCAATATGAACTTCCATGCCTGGACTGCAGCAATCAGTTGTTGGCGACTGGATCAGCGTTCCTGGATCATACACCATAACCATTGCACCGTCTCCCATTGACTGATCAGCATCGTCCTCCAGTGCCAGGTTCTCATCCTGTTCGCTTGCACCCTCGGATGACATGCTAATAACCAAATTTCGATCCATCTTATTGGACCCTTTTTGGCAATCTCTTTGCCCCATTGGCAACTTGCCAACTGCAACCTTCCAATAAATTCGAGTCAGAAGGCCTTTCACCAGCAATTGCTGAAGGTCACTCCTCACCGGACCACCATCCAACATCTTCGCATCATTACCACGGAGATCATTGCTCCCGCCTTCTCCTTCTTTTTGGTCGGTCTCCTCGCCAGAAATCTGTACTGCTCCTTCCGGCGCCGTCTCCTGTCCAGCCACTTCATGCCCAGGAAGAACTTGAGCGCTTTCAGAGACATTCACCTGTCCAGCAGCACCTTGCCCAGGTAAAACCTCATCCGTGGAGCCCACCGCCAGCGAACCAACCATAACTGAACCATCCCTTGTTCTTTTTTGAGACCGTTCAGCTCGACGAGAAGGTTGTGGTAGCGAAAAAACTTGTGAAGTCACTTCTTGGCGGGTCTCCCCCCGCGACGCTTTGTCGCGCCCTTCGCCAAGGTGAACCGATTTTTTCGGCCCATCATTGGAGCCTGAAGAACCACTTTGTGGAACATTGCCACGACTCGCAGTTCTCCACGAATCCCTTTCTTGCAAAAAGAGTTCCTTCAGGCGTTGTACCGCATTGGTCTCCTCCTCGCTTGAATCGCTTGAGGAAGCGGCATACGAGACCAAAGCCTCCGCCTGGTCATCATCATCCACCACATCTGCCCACGCTCTGCTGAATGGATACGACAAACCACCACGAGGTTTCACCGGCTCCAGTGGCTTCGGTTTTTCCACCACTTCCGCCAGTTGCACTCGTCGTTGTGACCGAGATCGTGGCACCTGTCGCACCTGTTTTTTGTCCAGCAAGGGCCTTCCCCTTCTTACAGGGTTTGATCTTGACCGATACTTTTTCGTTGGTGGATTCACCGGCGGCATTCCAACTCCCACCAACCGCAGCTTCTGTACGCACAACGGAGACCTCTGCGCAAGCGTCCAACCATCACGGTACCTGACCTTATCAAAAAGCTCCCGATAGGAACCTCTCGGCATAGTTTTTGCACCGGAGTCTTCAGCTTCACGCACCTGAGTGAGGGTTCGCACCGCCGCTCTTCCAGTCCCTTTGTTCCCAGAAGATTGTTGTACCCGTACAGATGCATCAGAAGGAACTGCCTTTTCCGGTCCTCCCGGTCGATATCGGACCTCACCCACCAATTGCAGAATTTTGCATGCGGTCACTTTGTTGATCCCTTTGTCAACCAAATCTTCCACAAAGATGAACTCTTGCAAGTCCGACACATTGGTCACACCAAGCGTAATCATCACCTCACTTACATGAGGGGTATACACCCACAGGTGTGCGTTGCGAGCCATCCAATTTTCAATCGGCTCCTCCGGATTGTGAAGCTGAGTACTAGTGGATGCAGCCACCGAATTCTTTTGCTCATCAGCTTCTACTTCATCCAGAATACCTTTTTCACCATCTTTTTGTGACACATTGGTCATTTGCAGTGCTTTTGGTGCCGAGGATGAGGAAGATTCAGCTCCCCCACTCGCAGGTGGCTGAAAAGTGCTTCTATCCGTAAGCTCCCATCCTCTCTCTTTTTCAAACCGGACCTGATTGGCCACCTGTACCAAGTGTTTCAGGAGCGACAGCCGCTCCTCTGACATCTCGTCATGGGAGTACTTGCAGAAATTTAACCCTTTCCGGCAACGTCCTCTGAGGTAATAATCGAAACAGCAATGGTGGAACCCTGCGTCCCTTAGTGACTTCCTGGAAGCATTGTCCCAAGCTTTGCCGGGCTCCCAAGTCCCTTCCAATGCTATGTCATCGTTGTGAAGATACCTGCATGTAGTCCCATATTTACAACCACCTTGATTGTAATACAGACACAGACGACCTTTTGGCTCACCCGACGTAGGCTCACCCTTTGATGCACCTTTGCCAAAATTGTACTTGGCCCGGAAGGCTAAATCCTCCCGCTCCTGCTGTGCCTCATCCACTGTACCTTCCTCTGTGGGAGGGTCACCGATGTTCCCGTCCTCATCATCAGCTTCTTGGCTATTCTTTGGATCAGTTGACCCCCTTCTGGCCAACCTTCACCGTACCGACGATGCTCATAGGGACACCCATCGCCATTGCGACACCTTCCCTTATTGAAGAACCTGCACAGCTTGCTGTAACCAGGTGACAACACCGTCTTTGGTGTCATGTAAGCCTTTTTGTACTGGTCAGGATCCATGTAGGCTTCCATTGGCTTGTTCTCCCTTTTGCTCATGGATTGCACTGCACCATCAAGCTCCTGCAAAAATAGCTTGGTGTCCAACCAAAGCGCGTTCCAAAACTCCTCTTCCCCTTGATCCAGCACCACTGCCACCGCATCACCCACAACTGGTCGAGAAAATCTCCTTTTCCTACGTGCCAGTTCGAAGAGCGCGTTGTGGTACTGTGTTCGGGAAAAGGTGGTTAACTCCCCCAAACCTGTGTTTTCTGTACCATCAGGCTTCCAACCATCATTTTGCAAGATGCCATACGCGCGCCGAGCTTCCGCATTGAGGAATGCCTGATCCGCAACACACTCCTGTAAATCTTCCATCGGCCGACCTAACAGCATCCCAGTAATTTTGCCAACATAGGCTTCCTCTTCATTTCCATTCTCCAGAAGAGCTTTGTAGATCTTTTCTCCATAAAGTTGCCTTTCTTTTCGTTCTTCAGAAGACAACTCCTGTACCACAAGCTCTTCATCGGATTGCTCTTCCTCCTGTTTCCAGTCCCATTGACCGTTGGAATCTTGGTACCATTGACCAGCATACCATGAATCCGTCCACCACGTACTCCAGCCGCTGGGTTTCCACTTCCGCAGCGTCGAAGAAGAGTCCTCCACGTCCTCTTCCAAAACCAGAAAGGTGTCCAAGATTATGGTACCATCATCTTCCACTCGTTTCACTGTTCCATTGACAGTATCACCAAACTTGAACTGATATGCATTGTTCCCTTCTGCAGGAATCAATACATTCATATCCCCATGGTCCAAAAAGGCTCCATACCCATTGATGCAGCGCACCAGACCCATGATCTCATCTCCCTCTTGATAGCAATGTGGCCCAGGTGACTCCAAGGCTCCCGCTCGGGGCACTTTCTTTACACGCTCTTCAGAAACCATCTCTGTATCATCGGCTCCTGGCGCATCCTTTGTCTTCACCTTTGGGTCACACTGCTCGTCCTGCTCCACGAGTCCCACAAGCTCATCTTTTTTGTGCTCCTGGATTTCAGGACCTCCCTTTTTCTCCGCCAACGGCTTTGCCTCATCTGCTGTAGTTCGCTCGGTGTCGACTTCCGGTGAACTTCCAGACGGCAACGCTTCTCCCTTCATGGGAGTGGACCCATCATTGGAGTCCTTTGTCTCACCTTCTGCAGCAGGCAAATCTTCTTCCACTGCAGGGCAATTGAGTCGATCATCCACGGCAGGCACGCTTTCTTCCACCGCAGGCTCCTTTGGTTCCATGGCCTCCAAAGGAGAATTTCCACCATCATTGACCACAGCTGCCTCATTGGCTCCGGTGTAGCCCTTGTCATTTCGTTCCTCGCTGCTAACTTCAGGTTGCACCAGTGCGTCCACCTGTGAACCTCCATCATCAGCTGCTGCGGAGACCTGCGCCCCATTGTTGCAGTCGCCCGTGGAACGTACCACCACATGCACCTCAACCCGTGCTTCCTTCGCACTCCAGGTAATATCTGGCGCATCAACCCGCGCATCATTGGCGCTCCAGGCCTCATTTTTCAGATCATCCGTGTCTCCAGCTATTCCAGAAGCTTCTTTTTCCCCTTGAATGGCAGAATTCTTGGCACCAAACGAAGAGACCTCCTCAGTCGTAACACACAACTTTTTCTCTCCATCCTCCGAATCTCCAGGACCACCTTCCTGAACAACAGGTACCACATCCACCACTCGCTCTTCTGCAGCCGACACAGTTCCGATCACCTCATTGGGCATTTTCTCTTCTGGATCCACCAATTCCATCGCTGCCCCACCCTCAGAAAGCGCTTCTGTTTCTTCCCGATCCAGGTGTTGAGCTCCAGCGATGTTGGCTTGGTTCCCAGGAATCCCTTCCTCATCAGGAGAACCCGAGGTCGGGGCGTCACCATCAGCCCTAGGACCGCTATCCCTGATAGTAGAGGAAAAATCTTTTTCACCTAAACTATTTACACTACCCTGGAATGCCCTCGTAGACTCAGTCTTCGGAGTAGAGGATGAAGAATCCAGTGCCGCCTCCATTTCCAGCTCATTGCCCAAAGGAGACCCAACCACCTCGTCACTCTTCGCCTTTTCACCTACCACCGGCAATGTCCACTTGGTTTCGTGCGAATCCAGGCAGTAATAATATTGTCTCCCATCTTCATGGAGGTGCAATTCCCACATTGTGCCATCACACGCTTGGATCAGATGCTCGTCTTTCCGAAAACCGTCCCTTTCAGAAACCTGTCGCATCTCGTCCTCTTCTTCTGACAGCTGTCGCAACCGTTCAGCCTCCATCTGTAGGATCTCCTCCTCCCCCATGGCGTATTCAGCAGCAGGTGCAGCTTCAAAGCCGTCCGCACCCTTCTGTTTGTGACCGCTTCCACCACCTTGGGAACTCGAAGATGGACCCTTTTTGATCTTGTTCAACGGCCTCCTGGTCGCTTGTAGCACTTCTCCAATCAGATCGGTCTGAGACTCTTGGTCTACCATTCGACCCGAAGTCGAAGACGACGGCTGGTACCCGTGTTTGTGTAACACTCGTAAAACAGTCACCTCCATTTCACGATCTATGCCACCAGTCGCATCCCAGTTCCTTTTTTCACCAGGCTTTGGCGGTACAGAAACAGCACGTCCTTCAGCTTCAGCATTGCTAACCATATCCCTATTGGGATTCATACCCGCATTGGGGCTTTCTGCAACTAAGGCCTCTTCCAGATGTACTTCAGCGTCGGGAATCACCTCTTCCAACACCGATCTTTCACCCAGAGACTCAGCTGCACCATTTCCAGCTCCACCATCTTGTCCACCATCCTGAGGCAAGTTGGAGCCATCGCTTCGGAGAAGGCATTGCTTCTTGATCCCAAAACCTTGAAAGAACACTTAACCGCAGGGAACCTAATTTGGGCTCATAACCTACGGGGGGACAACCAAGGAAGGAAATCAACTCCCCTAATCGCCCTGAACTTATATTTCCCAGATCGAACCAAGAAACAACCAAGAACACGGATAAGAGCAACCCAGGAGGGAAGGAAAGGGGGAAGGAATCCACACCCTTACCAAACCCTAAGAACCCAGGCACTTCTTTTTGAACTTGTGGCTTTCTGTTCAAGCCCATCTTGAGCCAAATACGATTACCGGGTTCATTAACCCTTCCAACTTCCAACACTAACTCCTTTCTACAATACCAATTGCAGCTCCGCATAGGGTTTAGGGTTTAGGGTACTATTTGCTTAAGAACCCGCCCCCCCCCCCCCCCCCCACCTCCTCCCCCCCCACCTCCTCCCCCCCAAAACAAACAAAAGATGATAACAATCCCTCCTTTACCCTTAAGGAGGAATCGAACAGGAACCAAGGGGGAACGGAGGGGTTCGGGGGAGGGGGCGAACTCTATTCCCCTGGTTTCTCCTCATGATGGGAGTCGTCAGCAGTACTGGTATAGACACCCCCTAGACCCTAAACCCTAAACCCTAAACCGTTTGGGTTGTGCTAGGAGTTCATGATCGGTTCAGGTTCTGGTCACGCATTAGGGTCGTCAAATTTCTTGCCCTCTGAGACTACGGATCGCGGGGTGGCGCGAAGAAAAGCAAAGTAGACGTTTAGGGCCTTGTAGGGATTTAAGGGACTTAAGATTTACTATAAGGGATCCTACTATTTCGGAGTCTGTATTAGGGGTCCCTTATTATCGTAAACTCTCATATAGACCCCTAAACCCCCCACAGGCCGTGATCATGATCATGAGCTTGGCGCACCTCGGAGAGTGTCGGGTTGGGGCCCAAAGTGCGCTCTTCCTCCGCGTCCTGCATCTCCTGACGCGGGGAGCCCAGTGCTGGGACCCAGTGACCCAGGGGTTCCACTTCAGGTCGTCTCTCTTTGCCCAAGTCTTTCCGCATTAGCACCAGATTTCACGCTCCACACGGAAGTGTGTGTGTGTGTGTATACACATATGATGAAGGTATGTGCGTGTTTTACTTGCTTTCGTGCGTGTTTTACTCTATCTCTCTCTCTCTCTCTCTCTCTGTCTTTCTCTTTAAGAGAGAGCATGTGTACGATACTCGTATTCGCCCTCAGGGCACCCACAAGTTGTGGGGCCATTGCCTCGATCGCTCGGATCTCTTCGGTGTACTTCTGCTCGTGCGCTTCCTAGCAGAGTGAAGGGTTTGGGTGTAGGGTTTAGGAGCATCTCAAGTTCACGCATTCACGAGTCAAGCAATTTATCGAGCGTTGGAAAAATACCCACCCGCCCAAAGAATCCCATAACATTAAGAAAATACAACACTTGCATTTTTCTTTCAGGCGACAGGACACACAACCTCGAAACCCTGAAAGCCTGAAACCCTGAACCCCAACAATCTTGAAGCACTGCAACCCTGAAACGCTGAAACCCTGAAGTGTCCCGGGGCGAAAAGGGGCGTACCGCATTTAGCGGTTGTTCGGTTTCATCATGCAATGTTGAACCGCGGGCTCAATTTTGCGATTTTTTGGGCCTATCAGGCGCGTGGTCCGCGAGGGGTTGGCCTCCGGGCTTGCCAGTTTAGGATGTGGCGTTTTAGCTGGGGTTCAGGATGGTACACTAACAGTCCTCAATAGGAATTATTATAGGGGTGCTAGAACCCCTATTAGGACTGTTAGTGTATAAGGGGGAAGATCCCAATGTATAGGGTTCAGAGTTTCCAGCTTAGATTTGAGTGTTTGGGGGTTTACGGGTCCTTTCGACACCCAAAATGTAAGCACGAAACTCGCATCAAGCCCTGTCCCCAAATAAGATCGCCAATACGTATAATCCGACTCTATCTATCCTACTTATACCCCTACGTAACACCCGAAACCCTAAAAGCCCTAGACCTCCTAAAGAGGGGCAAAAAAGCGCCTCGGTCGTGCGAACCCGCTCAGCGAAAGCCTTCTTCGCCAACTCTAGCTCCTGCTGGTGTGCAGTTGGGTTTAGGGTTTAGGGTTCTTTGAGACTTTGGTTTAATATGGGGCCTTAATTAGAATGGGGGTTTGGGGGTTATTATGGCATATTTATAGAGGGGCCATAAGGGCATACGATTAGCAATCATTCCGACCCCTAGAGTCGGTTTTCGGGCGTTTAGCTTTAGGCCTTGAGGTTTAGGGTTTAGGGCTTAGCATGGTGTAGGGTTGTCTCGGCTTGAAGACTACTTGTATAGGACGATCGGAATTAGGATGCAGGGTCGTGGTAGAGTTTGGAGTGGGGGAGGGTTCACCCTATACCCTAAACCCGAAACCCTAAACCCTCAGCTTTGAGATTGGGGAGGAGCTGCAAGGGGTCCCTTCCGCGCCTCTTTGAATCGTGGCTCAGCGAAGAGCAGCGACGTGGCCTTTTCAGGCGAGTTTGGGGCCGGGGGGGCCTTTTTGCAGCTCAGGGATCTAGGGACCCTAACCCCTAAAACCCTAAACGTTTAGGAGTCGAGGGTTTCGGGTCTTCATCGGCGGGTTTCAGGTTCGGGGGTTACAAGAGTTGAGGGACTGGGGGGCTGAGGTCCGCCACTTGAAGTGTGGCAACTCCGTGCGCTTGAGGTGTCCAGATCTCACCACCCGAAGAAGCTTAGCACACATCCTAGACCCAAGAGGAACCTTGGTATGAAAGGTGGTGCACTTTTTGTGCTAAAGGAGATTATAAGGGACCCTAAACCCTACAAAAAGGTAATAATGGGCCTCCTCCGGGCCCTAGCATCGTGTTAGTCCCGAATTCCTAAGCCCCTTGTGACCCCGCTTAATTAAAGTGAGGAGAACTCGAGCCATGCAGAGACTCATACCAGAATCCCCAAACGGCGACTAGACCTAAGCCTAAACCCTAACCCCTAACCGCTAAAACCTCAACCTTAACCCCTCACCCCTAAAGCCTAACCCTAAACCCTAAACCCTAAACCCTAAACTCTAAACTCTAAACCTAAACCTTAAACCACGACACCCCCCTCCCCAGAATTTGGCTCTGCCTGGAAGGACGTCACCCTGCCAAGCTGCGGTGGCGTGGCGGAAACGGTTCCTCCTGTTGGCAGGCTTAAACCGGGGTTTAGGGTTTAGGGTTCAATTAGGGTTTAGGGTTCAGGGTTTAGGATTGAGGGTTCATGGGTTTAGGATTGATGGTTCATGGGAAGGGTTTAGGGTTAGGTTTTAGGGTTGAGGGTTCAGCACAAACCCTATAAATCCTATAAGCCTTATGAGCCCCATAAACCCCATAAACCCCGTAAACCCTGGCAAGCCCTGTGAAAACCTGTAAAGCCTACATCAACCCTATAAACTACTATTTCCTCAAGAACCCCCAACAAGCTCAACATGTTCTTTTTTTTGTGGGCAAGAAGCGGATCATTATCTTACTTGAATTTGGGGCGGAACTTTGGCACATCCTCAACCCCCGGGTTTCGGGATGTTTCGGGTTTGGGGTTTAGGGCTTAGGCTTCCCCAGAGAACCCTCAACCCCGGGCTTAGGGACTCTTAGGGACTTTTCGGGACTTAGGGATTCGGGTTTAGGGTTTTAGGGTCTAGGGTTTCGGGTTTAGGGTTTAGGGATATAGGGGTTTAGTTTTAGGGTTTAGGGGTTTAGGGGTTTGGGGTTTAGGGTTTAGGGCGTTATGGCTTAGGCCCCAGGGAAATGCCCGGAAGCAGCCAAGGCGCCTCGCTGAAGCGATGGGTTTGGCACCCCGCTGGTGAGGCGCCTGGGCAGGGCTTGGGGCTTGGGGTTTGGGGTTTGGGGGTTTGGGGTTTGGGGTTTGGAGCTTGGGGTTTGGGGTTTGGGGTTTGGGGTTTAGGGTGATAGGGTGTAGGGTATAGGGTGTAGGGTTAGGGTTTAGGGTGTAGGGTTTAGGGTTTTGGGCAGATGGCTGATGGTGGCAAGGCTTTCAATTGGAGGGCTCTTGAGGTTTCATTGCTGTGTTTATGGTTTTTGAAGGCTGTTAAGGCCTGTAGGGTTTAGGGGCTTAGGGCTTTTGGAAGTTTAAAGGTGTTCAAGGGTTGCTTTAGGGGCTGGGAGTTTGACCGTTTAGGGGGTCCCCAGCTATCCAGTTGCAGCCTAACAGTTTGTAGGTTTCAGGCTTAAGGCATTATTGTTGCTCAGGCTTTGGGGTTTATGGCTTTAGGATTTGGGTTTCAGGGTCACTTTTTGGTTCTTCAAAGGGTTTCTCAGGCTACGAGAACTACGGTCGTGGAATTCTCGACTGAGAACCCTTAAGCTTCGGGTGTAGCTATACAAGGTCGGTTTGCTGAGGCTTCAGGCGTTTGGGGGGGGGGGGGGGTTGGGGATTCGCGGATTTATGGTTTGGGCTGGCAAGTTAAGTGGGGAACTAGAGCTCGTAGGGCTGAAAGCATCAAGGCCCCCGAAATTCATCTGAAACCACAAGCTCCAAGCTCACCACGCGAGCCATAGTCTATACGGGGTTGCAGGCTTAGGGTTCCGGTTGAAAGGCTTACCAGGGCAAGCAGTAGCCAGTTGGGAGAACTACCAGCATCTCTCTGCACTGCCTCCTGCAGGATTGTGGGGCTTACGGGGTTGTGGGGTTGAGGGTCCAGGCTTTAGTTTTCTAGGTTGGCCAGTGGAACCCTCCGAAATGAATTCTAGATAGGGTCCTGGCCGAATATGGAAAAATCGAAACAAGCTATGGGCAGACCCCTATCTAAGCCCGAGCTGCAAATCTAAACCCTAAATCCTACTTGAAGGCTCGCGGGTGGTTATAAGCAGGGTTGTAAGTGCCGTAAACCAGAGATATAGCAACGACAACACAAGTTACCCTAGCTATAACATCAGTTGTCACTACCCATGAACCTCCAAGCACCTACTTGGAAGCCCTTTCGACTTAGTAAGTAGGTTAGCAAGGGTCGGTTATGGGGATACTAAGTAGACTTGCTAAGTCAAAAGAGCTTCCAACTTAGCTTTGGAGTGGACCCTGAAAAAAAGTATATACTTTTTTAGGTATAAGTAGCTATAATCGGAACCCAGAACCAAAGAAAGTATTAAAGTATGGTCCTCCAAGACCCAGCCACGTACGTAGTCCTAGTTTTACGTCTGGGCCAAGACGCGCCAAGTCAGGAGGCTGCAGAGGAATCGTCAGCATGCTGCCCTGCGACAGGGGTCTTAGGGTTTAGGGTTCCGGGTGTAAACCCTAAACCCTAAACCCTCCTAAACCCTGAGCCCTAAGTCCTAAACCCCAACCCCTGTGAAGCCCTCAGCCTTAAACCCTAAGGGCAACCCAACCTTTCATCCTCGGAATCTGGCGATTAAGTATGGGCCACCAGGGACCCTTCACCTATTATTTCGTGAGTTCTCGCCAATATGGTCCCTTCTTGGCGTCCCCTATATATGTACACATAATATATCTATATATAGTATGTATATGTATACATATATAATGTATATTATATATAAATATAAATATAAATATATATATATATATGTGAAAGAGTACATCTTTTAGAGAACTTACCAGACAACCTGCTGCTCTGGGGCCGAGAAAATGTCCCCCCCCCAGAGAAGGCTAAGGGGCCACATAGTGGGAGCCCATGACTTTTCATACAACTTGATGCCGTAAGGGTTTTGAGTTTGGAGCTTCTTGTGGGGACTTGCTGTTCCGGGCAGGCTATGCAAAGAAACTCAACGACTTGTGTTTGAGGATCTCAGACAGGGATAACTAACCACTCAAGACCTTAAAGTCAGCCCATGAAACCCTAAACCCCTAAACCCTACACCCTAACCCTAAACCCTAAACCCCAAACCTCGGGGACGCTGGGCGACAATGGCGAAGTCTGGCGGAACATGGCTGGTGACGCCCCCACAGGCGTCTCCGCTGATAGGACGCCTGGGATGGCAGTCTTTCGGGCTGCAGGGGTTTAGGGTCTAGGGTTTAGGGTCCGACCATGAGAAGCAGGCATGAACCCCCCCAAAGAAGCCGAAGTAATCCAGGAAGCGGAGTAGATATGGGCAAGTAGCAGGAGGCACTCTGGGACTCTGGGGATTTAGGTTGGGGTTGTACGAACCCTAACCCTAAACCCTGAACCCTACACCCTAAACCATGGATTCGCATGCGGGGGCGCTCTGGACTGGCAGCCCTTGTTGTGCTGTACTTGAACCTTCTCCAGCTACTGTATAGAACCCCCTTTTAAGGCCCATGTAATAT